TATCTATCTATCTATCTATCTGTCTGTCTATCTATCTATCTATCTATTTATCTATCTATCTATCTATCTGTCTGTCTATCTATCTATCTATCCATCCATCCGTCCATCCATCCGTCCATCCATCCATCTGGTGCCAAAGTAGAGTAACATAAACTTCAAGTAAGAGAGAACACTGTAGATCAGCACATTTTAAGATTTAAAGGTGCTCCTTAACTACAGTGCCACCTAGTGGGCTGTTGAAAACTTTCAGTTTTACCGTGTTGGCCTCTGAGGGCCACAGGACCCTCAGTTATGGTAGTGTTTCCCACCACTTATTGCTGGTGAAGTGTCAGAGTACAATCAGTCGGTCAAACCAGTACAGAGTTGAATGAGCCCCAGGTCGTGGCTTTGTACTGGAAAGGTTGTGCTGTTGTTAAATGTTAATGTGGCTCTGCTCTGTATCATCTGGTTTCTGTGCATGTTGCAAAATCTCAGTGGGTTTCCATCCTTTTCTTCCAGTCTTGGGGCGTGTCATGACTCACTCACTCCATCAAGTCAGCTGGGTGGTGGTGGTGGTGGTAAGAAGGAAAAAGTGTTCTGGGACTGTGTGTGGTTTAAGTGATGCTACAGTTATAGTGCTGTGGCATCACACGTGTGTTCACATGGGCCTGTTGGTAAATCAGTTTACAAAACAAAGTACAAGTATTCTTGTATTTCTCTGCCATAAGGTAGTTTTTACTTTTGATCGTGTGGTTTGAAACCATAACACCAGTTGTTGGACTAGAGATTAAATGGTTGAATTTTCACTGATTTGCTTGTTTGTGCAGATGTTGACTTACAGACCATGGGCTGAGCAGATGTTTGGCTCTGATCCAGATACTTGAAATAATATTGGACCTACATGTGTCTTGTATCTTCAGTTCATATAACTGGATTTGTGTATAAAATGAATAAAAATATCCAGTTACCGGAGAGAAATGGATTTGGTATTCAGTACCCAACACATTCTGGAGTATTTAGGGATGCATCCACTACAGCCTACATGTCCAGATGACAGTTTGACCAATGTTCTGTGACTGCGTTTGCCTGCACATGTGATCTGGAATGAGGAAAAATGTCATTAACTGTGTAACTTTTTTGCGCTGAAATTACAATGACAACCAGCTACAAGCCATAAATGGAGACACAGACAGTGTTTTGTGAGGACATTGTTCCATATATATTTTTCCTGCATAACAGAAACCATAATATTTCAGTTGGTCACAGTAAGTTGTTAGCAGTCCTTAATATACGTACTCAAACAATAATACTACTGTAAACATTTTTTTTTCTACCAGTAGATTATGTCAGCACGTATTCCCTATTATCTACTTCCATAGTGTAGTGGTAAGCACACCTGCCTAAGAAGTAGAGAGTCCTGGGTTTGATTCCCAGAGAAACCACAACTCACTTGTCAATGTTCTCAAACCAGGAACAAAGTGGCATTTGTACCACTGTGCACGCATGTTACCATCCTGTGCACGATCCTCATGGTCTGAGAGTGTGTGTATATATATATGTGTGTGTGTGTGTGTGTGTGTGTAAAAGGTGCCTCATTTCCCTCCAGAGCAGTGTCATCCCCCCGAACGCTGCAGGCTCAGATAAACCACAAAGCCCACTCTGTTACAGTGAACAGGCCACCGCCACCCCCTCCCGCTGCAGTAAGTAGCCGTGGCCTCTTGTTGTTCCTACACTAACAAAGAGGAGCCTCTTGAAGGTATGAGCTGTAAAAACAAGAGGCAATTCCTAGAAATCCTACGTCCAGGCGAGACTGAGCTGTGAAGAAAACAGACAGAGGTGTGTCTCTTTATTTCTGAACATTAACAGGCTGAAAGTGATTCTGAGCTCACATGACCACAACAACAATGTATGAGAACAACAGGAGCTTATCGACGGCTGGTTTTCTTCACCTAGTTTCCCATTAAGTTACAAACATTAGGACGGCTGATTAAATCTGACCCTGCTTACACTGAGTTTCACGGTCAGCGAGTGAGGACAGAGGAGGTCAAGTTAACTCGTGACAGTGTTTATGTTTTGGCCTCTATAAACGTAACAACACACAAAAAAATCAAGCCATTATTATGAACATTCTTAAAAGGAAACCATTCTGTCAGATATTTGCTGCCATTTGTAATATATATTTATATATATATATATAAACAAAGAAAGGTAGAGCGCCCTCTGTCTGATCATTCTGTAACAACATTACATTTAAAAGTTACCTTTTATCTTTGTTCCCTCCTAATTGTAAACAGATATTGAAGGGATAGAGCTTCTGTTTTAGAAACCACAGGGATTACATAAGTAAACACAGACTGGTAATTAGGAATTTAAATATTTATACCCTTCTTCTACAGCTTAGGATTCCAATTTTAAAGTTATAATGATTGATAAACCCACAGGTTTAGTCACGGACACGGTTGTTTGACTCTACGTCGACTAGAGATGGAAACCTTTTATGAAATCTGATCCGTTTAACGTGTTGTTATCACAGTCAGTGACAGAGACAGAAATTCTTCACATTTATATCTGGGTCTGTCGCAAGAGCAGCAACAAGAGGAGATTGTTCTCCGTGTCATCTCCAGTCAGCAAAAAAGAACAAAACACAATGGCGTCCGACAGAGAGAACGGTTTTCTAGATAAGTATGTCGAACTTTCTCATAGAGCTTTTGGTTTAACAAAACCGGTGACAGATGTATCAGATTTGTTGAGTTATATTTTGTGTATTCTCTGGAAATTATTTATAATGCAATTAGTTGGAAGAGTCAAAAATAAAAACAGATGTTGATCCCAATTAATCCCAATTAATCATGATTAATCATGTTTGGATTGTAAATGAGATGGCAGAATGACATTAAACCAAACCCGATGAAGGTTTATATAAACCATTGGCTCAGAGTTCAAATCAAACCTCAGAAAACCACTTGTAGTATCAAAAACATTGCTCTTTCTTTTTCTTTTTTGACCACCTCTGATTCTCCGTGGTCTCTGTCTCCCTCCAGTGTTTCCAGTATGGCGGGGAATCGGGCTCAGTGGTGGTGTGGCAGCTGGGTGGAGCCAAAGCTGGGGGCGCTGCCTACGATTGGAGCCCAACAGCCCGGGACAAGGCGCCCCGATCCCGGCCTACGACTACCCAGTCTGGCTGGTTCTGTGTCGTGGGGGGCGTGCTCGTCTAGAAGAGGTTTGTCAGAGAGGGAGGGGGGCCATCAGACTGCCCACTGAACTGCTTCGACTCAAACTCCCCCAGCTCTACGAAAACTACCAGGTCCCGAAGGTAAGAATGGGTTGGATCATTGTTTATGGTTGTTTATTGTTTATTTGCCAACGGTAAACACTGAATGATTACAAAATAATATGTTGTCATTTATGGACAATGTAACAGTGTGATTGTTCTCTGGATCCTCAGGTGTTTAGAGAAGACGGCATCATGTCTGGATACCGTCATCCACGGAGCTCAGCGCGAGACTGCGTCCTCAGCAGCTTCTCCATGAACAACGAAACCATGAACATCTGGACACACTTCCTACCAACATGGTAACCAATCAAAATCTTCTTTGATGTTTGAGTCAGTGTGCCCCTAGTGGTGGAAAAACAAGGCCTGCAGAGAACAAACAAGAAGTGAAATAGAGCAGCTTTGTCTTTCTGTTGTAAAAACAGGAAAGATGAAGCAGAGAAGCAGGACTGAAATGAAAATCTTTGTTTTCATTTGGATTCTGACAAAATTCCCTGACAAAATAATACAACAGTCCATGATGTGTTTTTTCTCCTCAGGTATTTTCTGTGGCGTTTTTGTGCCCTGTCATGGTCGATGAACTTCCTGACCGACAGCTACACCTGGCCCCTGCTGGTCTACATGGTGCTCATCTGCATTTACCCCTTTACCTCCAGTTGTGCTCACACCTTCAGCACCATGTCACCAGAGTCCCGTCACATCTGTTACTTCTTTGATTACGGAGCGCTCAGTCTCTACAGCCTCGGTACTTTAGCTGAACATTATTTACATAATCGACTAGCTTTATAAATTGTACTGTATTAATTAATAATGATCTAAAAATAACACTGAAAATCAGTTAAAACACTTTGGCTTTTATCACTGCCGTAGTTTAGGATATATTCTGTCTTTTAATTCTAAACGAATCGGTATGCTTTCTTAAATTAACCTACGAAGAAAATTAGTTGTTTCAACGTTGGCACCCTCTAGTGGTCATCGTGAAAGTCAATTCCCAGAATTGGGCGATTCATAAAGCCGGTAAAACTCCAAGCTAGAAAGACAGAAACGAACTGACCTCTGCATATTTGAATCATTTTTTTGTTTGTTTACAGGTTGTGCCATCAGTTATGGACATTATGTGATACCAGACTGTTGGGTCAACACTTTCCTCCACCAACATTTTGTGCCCATAGCTGTTGGAAACACAATATTCTGCACCAGTTTGTCCTGTTATTCCAGGTAATTACATATTATTCTGTAGACTCCCTGCAAGTTTGTCCTGCAGCATCCAGAAGAAAGTCAAATGTATTCTATGCCTATTCAAGAGAGGAGGCAAAATAGAATTGTTTAACATTAATATATTTCCAACAATTAAATACCATCACGCTTTAATCGTTGTAAATATAATTATGAAACAGGTAAACATGTTTCAGTTGGATGAGTATACTAGCGATAACCCATAATGGTGTTGCACCAACACGTCTTCACAGTCCGTCTTCTTGCCTTCTCAGGTTCCTGGAGCTTCAGTTCCCACAGAGGAGTAAAGTCTTGAGGACAGGAGCATTTATCGTCCCTTTTATATTTGACACGGTGCCTCTGTTTTACAGGGTGAGAGAATCTGAATCTTCCTTTTTCAGTCGGTTAGCACTTAGGAAGTTCAGCTCTGAGAAATCCTGACTGAGGATCAGTAGATGAAAAGATAGATTGAACTCTAAAGGACAACGACACCAGTTACAGTCAGACTGACCCTCAGACACATATGTATTCAATGGGGTCCTGGGTTGGAGCCCTAGTGGAACCACATACTTTATCCTGTATATGTAAATGAGTAAATGGACAAAAAACAGCCATATTTACATCTTTGTAGAATGCCTGAACACTGTGTCTTTTAAAACCTCCTGATGAAAGCAGTGTCTCTCGCTGTAGATCCTCCTGTGTGTTGGAGGAAACTGCAGTTCCAGCGGAGCCTTGTCCAGTCACTGTTATCACCTCCTTTTTGCCTTCCTCACCTGTTTCCTGTTTACGGCGCACCTCCCAGAGAGACTGGCCCCCGGCAGATTCGACTACATCGGTGAGTCACGTCCACGGGGACGGAGCTATAGTTTCACACTGGTCCATTTTTACGACCCATTGAAATGTTGTGATGTTACTATGGTGTCTTGTTATTAATAGGACTTGTATTTCAAAAAAAGTAACACCTTCATTATTCCCATCATTCTAGGTGCCCTTAGTTAAATGTGTTTGGATTATTAATCAAAACAACAATTCATAAACACTTTTCTGGTCTCTGTGTAAAAGGGAACAATTTCACTCACTTATATAATTTAGAATGCGAAAACAAGAAAATAAAAATTTAATTTCTAAAAATAAAAATGAATCTAAAGTAACTGTCATAATCTTAAAATATTTTTATTGCTTTAATAATTACTGTCTTTTATTGTCATTTATTACCTTTTCTGCATTTGTCAATGAAAACTGTTCACACATTTATATAAAAGTAATTAGTAAAGCTATAATCCTCCTTTTTCAATATGATTCAAAATTAAATGAGTTTTTAAAAATATGAACCATTCATGTATCACAGTCCAAACATAAAGATAATATAATACAATACAGTATATAAGATGATCTATAACTGCTTTTATAATGTAATTTAATATAGTTTGATTATCTCTTCAAAAAGTCTTAAAAAATAAAACTTTCTCAAATATGAATGAAAATACACTAATGTCCTTAAAAACACATAGCTGTCCTTTTTATGGTAAAAATTCAGTAGAGTCTCTTTGTTGTGTTTGTTCTCTGCTCTTCCCTGCTGTTTACAGAACAATGGCTCTACATTACCCCTGATGTTGGATGTGATAGTTGATTTTAACTTATACTGGAATGTTCTGGCAGTATCTCCGATCATTGTCTCCTTCAGGTTTATTTTGGCTCAAGTTAGCATAGGTTTTTTTTTTTTTTTTATGTATATACTGACTTGGTTCTAATGTCCACAGTGTGTGGACAAAGAATCTTGTCGATCAATTTTGATCTATTTAATTTGTTATTAATATATTTTAATTTTTTGCATAAAAAAATTATTTTACGAATGTACAGTAATAATTTAAAGTATTTGAGCAGATTCCAAGATGTGAAATGTCTCCCTCTAGTGGACCTTATTGTTGATTAATCGTGAGAAGAACTTTTTGGTAACACTAATTTTGGTAACTCCGGATCCAACAGTATTTTAACACTTCTACTAATCAACCTTTAATACACGTTTGTTCTCATCCTCCTCTGACAGGCCACAGTCACCAGCTGTTTCACGTCAGTGCTGTGGTGGGCACACACTTCCAGATGGAGGGCGTGATCGCAGACATGATGACCCGCAGGAAGTGGCTACTGACTCATGGAGCGGCACCGTCTTTCCTGGGCACTGTCGGCGTCCTGGTCCTCAGCTTCGTCCTCAACCTGGGCATCATCGGCGTCTTCAGTGCCCCACTCCTGTGGAAGCCCTGGCACAGCGCCCCCCAGCAACACACGGCAGCTACTGCAACAGCACCAGCAACAGCACGTGAGCTCAAGGAGCAGTGAGGAGTTGTTTTTCCCAACAGAGACAAAAATAGTTTCCATAAGAAAGGTATGGAAAGTGTGTGTATGCGTGTGTCAGCAGTGGCTGTTGGAGATAAACATTGACAGTTGATCCGTCGGTGACTGGTTCACACACAACACTGATGTTTTTCTAACAAAGTGACAGCAGTGACGTTAATGACTGGGTTGAATGAGAAGCTGAGGACCCACAGGTGTTCACTGAAGCCTTCTCCATTCTATTAAGGTGGCATTGAAGTGAGAGTTCACCATGTTGTGGAGGTTATAGTGAGACACTGGTACTGGTGGTATGTGGTATTACTGCTGTGTGCTACATGGAGGTGGTACACAGTGCATTCTGGGACTGTTTGAGCTGAAACTAATTGACAGTGACTGGAAACCAAATTAATAAATAAAAATACCACTACTTCAAACCTGCCGTAGTAACCTGGTGCAGAGGAGACAGAAGTTGACAAAGCAACATTCGTTTTCCTACACTGAAAAACTCCTAATACTTATATATGAAGAGATCCAAAAAGTATGTCTAGATCAGTGGTTCTTAATTAATTTCTATCATGCCCCCCCCTTGTGGACAGAAATGTGTTCACACCCTCCTGACCCACATCCCTGCAAATTGAAATACTGACGAGAACCTGACAACATGTATATTTCAATCTGTACAAACCACTGTATGAGTTGCTGCCACCTGGTGACTGGAGGCTTGTTATCATTCAAGCGTTACAGCAGAGGGGCCCGCCCCACTGTTTGAGAAGTACTGGTCTAGATGCAGTACTGGGTCCCCGAGACATTTATACAAAACTATCCACTTGAACTTAAAGAATCCAAACCATTTCTACAAAACTGAGGCTCTTATCTTACCATAGTTTCCAAACAATATCTAACTCTGGTCGTACCCACAGCCCAAGTACATCCACCTCTATTCAACACACATGTACTGTAAGTACCTCAAAGTCTACTCTGAAATTTCCATACCCTCTCTTTAATCTCTTCAGTGTGCAATGCTAAAAATACACTACACATTTCTGTTAATATTTAATGCTCCCTGGTGTGTAGAGGAGACGAAAAAAAGACTCTGGGTTGAAGGAAGCTGTCGTTAGCCAACTCATGGTTGACTCGGTGTAAATGTGTGTCACCGTGATCTAAAACTGGAAGAGTTCACAGTGGCAGGGCGGCTGTTTTTAAGTGTCAAATATGGGGTGTCCGTCGGCGTCCTGTAGTTCAGCTGCACCTATTAGAATGCAGATTGGCCGACGGAGCTCTTGTACTGTTCATACGTATCTATTGATTGTGCTCAGCACTGACTGGAATTGATTTGCGGGCCAGAGCAATTCTCTCTCTCTCTCTCTTTCTCTCTCTTTCTCTTTCTCTCTGTCTCTCTCTGTCTCTGATTGCCTGCCTAATTATGAAACTCAGTTTTCCCCCCACAGGAAGGAGGAGGGACTGTTACAGTCAGGTGATGATTAAAAGGCCTCTCGATTTAAAAAAAAAAAAAAAAAAAAAAAAATATATATATATATATATATAATACATATATATACTGTATATATTTGACTCCTAGTTTCCATGGTAGCCTTACAGAGCCTTACAAACTTGACTTTTTATTCCTGATTAATGGTGTTAAATTAAAGACGGTCTGTGTTTGTATTATGTTCATATGTTCCAGCACTTATCTGAGTTTATAAAAATATAATCCAAAATTAACACTCTTAATGTTTTCTATGATGTCCTGGTCCCATTTGAACTGCTGCTGCTGTTTACATTTACCACTGTAATAACGTCTGTACTGCATATTTATTTATGGACTGTTATTGTATTTATGACTTATTTGGTGCAGAAAAGAGTGGGATGATGTTTTTCTCCTTTTTTTTAACTTCAAGTCAATTTACTTTGGGCATTCATTGGCCAATAAGTAAAGATAAAACACATGTACGACAAAATATTAACCTTTTCTTTTATATCGACGTAAGACAGCAAAACAAAAAATCAAATTAGCTAATTACTAAAAAAAAGAAAAAAACCCAAACCCTGAGATCTCAATGATGAAAAGGTTTCACCGTTGAAGGATTTCTATAAATATTAACAATCTCAAATATTTAGAAAGTGAACATTTATTCCTCCACAGTTAATAAACTGTCTCAGGTACAGCTACACAAGTTGGGAAATAATGTTTCCTTTTATTAAAAGTTAAACTAAAACAAATGACACCTGATGTGTAAATATTGTATTGTCAGAGTTGTGTATTAACAACATTTATTTAAGTATATTAATAATAATAATAGTGTTGATGATGTGGTCAAATACTTTCTTGACTTTTCATCAACAACTCTTTTCACTTCTTTTCCATGTGAGCCTAATTCTTGTCAGTTACATATCAGCCTTGTTAAACCACTGGTGTTAAACAACACACACACACACACACACACACACACACACACATCTCATCTCTAACTGTTTCGACTTTAACCAAACCGTGCGTAAAAAGCTGTGTTAAAGTAAAACAAAAAACCACACACACACACACACCGCGTCTAACACACACACAGTGACACACTGTTGTTGTTGTTGTAAAGGTAGGGTTTGTAAAGAGATGGTAAAGTGTACGTGGTGTAATGGGACTGAGGTTTGTTCAGGTCCACGGTGGACGCTGAGGAGGAAGGCTGCACACTGGGAGAACGTCTGAAATGACACACACACACACACACACACACACACACATAAACTGTATAAGTGTTAGACCACCATTAGATTAGGACGGACATCAAAGCAGCAGGAAAAAAAATGAAATATGAACATGAAAAAAAAACTCTTCTCAGTTTTGTTTTCTCAGTAAAACTGCATTTTTAATAAATGTATTTAAATTTACTCTTTATTTCAGTGACAGTGAAAAACTCTGGATTAAAATTCATCTCATTTCAGAAAAAAAAAACCATCTTAGTGTATAATTTGTAAAAAATGGTTGCTGTCTTTTTATTTTCAATGTCATTGAAGACAAAGACAAACGGTTGAACTGAGAAAGAGAAAGTGTTGACGCCATAACAGAAGCATTAAACAGATCTGATGTTGGCCTCAGACTGTGACCACACAGACCATTAGATCAGGACACTGTGCCACATGTCCTCAGTGTTTACAGGACTTAACGTCTACATATGGAGCCCACAGAGCAGAGCTGGGTTCACCACCTCTCATCTTGTTTCTCCTCACTCCTGCCGCGTCTCCATCGACCCCCCCTCCCCCTCCGCCTCCCCCCACTCTCATCATCTTACAGCTTTCCTCTCCCGACCCTGTTGATTCTTGGAATCGCATCATTTCTGGCCTCTGCTGCGGTTCACGTGTATCGACCCGCAGCAGTTTGGAAAACCACCGGGTTATTTTTGATAGAAGTTTTTTTGTCATCTCACTCTGTCATGTGCCTTTTTGAGCTTCATTTTCTACCAATTAGAAGACGGAACGCGTGTGTTGTTGCTGCTTTTCTCGTCAGACGTTCCAACAATTCAGGCTGTAATTATCAAGAAAATTGCACTTAATAAAAAAAAATCTCTCCTTGTCTTTAAAAAAACAAACGACAATGTGTTGAAAGATATTTGATCAGGTGAAATGAAAAGCCAAGCGAGGAAGCATTTGATACAACGTTAGCTTTTATGTATTTTGCAAAGACAGGAAAATGAATGGGTTTCTGTTGCCTCGTCAGTTTCATGTCTGTAATTAATGACAGCTGTTCTTGAAGTCTGTAAATAATGCCCTCTCTGGGTAAAATGTGTCTTTGTAACTTTGTTCTACTAGGCTTCTGTAATAAATTAACTTTTTAACTGTCTTTGAATTTCATTTATTAGGATTTTTAATTATTGATTTTTTTAAATTAACAGTACATACATACTATTTATGTTATAGAATATGAAGTAATAATGTTATATTTAAATGGCATTGCTCTGGGATTTTCAGTGTGAATTGATAATTATACAAGGTTTCTACATTAGATTAATCTTTATAATTATAATTTGCATTTTAATCTGTCGTAAAGTTTGAAAATGTATAAAAATAAACAATATAGATAAAATTGCTATTTCATGTGTTGAGTATCTGGAATGCTAATTGTGAACCATAATGATAATAATAATAATGTTAATAATAATATTAACCTAGCTGGACGATTTTGAGTAACATAAAACATTTTTTTAATCAAATGTAATGTGAATCTTTGTTCAGAGAAATCAAGTTAAAATGGATGAACTTCCCTAAAATGTTTTTTTTTTAATATTTTGCAATTTGTTTTCACTTCAGCAGCAAGTAACATATGACAGAAATGTTGCCCTAAAATAACAAAAGGTATCAAACGTTGATAAAAAGTGTATAATAAACAATAAAATCTAAACTACATATTTACGTAAAATTAAAAAAATAAAAAAATAAGAAGAATGACCACGTTTGGCAGTTTTGTATTTGTATTTTATTTATTTATTTATTTTTACCATGGCCTGTATCAGCAGTGTTCACATATGAGCGGTAGAGGGCAGAGTAGCACAGCAAGACTGTCCCACCGAAGCCCTGGTTTTACCTTAAGAAATCTTTTAAGTTTGAATCCTGAATAATCACTTTGATACATGCTTGTAGGTAAATTTGTATTTGTTAACGGCAAACGAGTGCATTTTTATTCAAGTAAAATAAAACGCATGTTTTCCTGACTTCTAAGCACAATTAATCAGGAACACTGTGCAATTTTATTTAAAAAAAAAAAAAGATTTAATAAGAGTAAATGTGTGTGGTTTTTGATCAGTTGTTGATGTGACAAAAATGTTTTTCTTGATTATTAACATAAGAAATCAAAGCTACATATTTTAATACCAATTATTGTATTTTCTTTTTATTTTTGGGGCTTTTTTGTAATTTTTTCTATTGTAGTATCAAAGTATCAAATTAAATGGTCTAAGAAATTAATTATCTTCTTCATTTCAAGCATAAAAAGGCTAAAGCTACATATTTTTTAAAATGTATTTTCTGAGTTCTAAATATTAAAAAACTCATAGCTACATATTTTAGGTTAAATAGTGCTTTTTTCCCCTCAAAAAACGTTAGTACAGTACAGGGTTGCTGTGGCTGTAGGTTTTTGTGTCAACCTATCCAGAGATCACTGACTGACCAATCAGCTGTCTGAAGACTCAGATCAGTTGATTAATTAAGCCAAGTCAGGTGTGCTGCTGATTGGTTGAACAAACACCTGCAGCCACAGTGGCCCTCTGAGGAAGAGTTTGTCCGAGCCCTGCTAAAGTAAGTCACTGTTAATTAATGTTTGATGGAACAAAAATGTTTTCCTGAATTTAAAAGATGAGAAGGGGCTACTTTTTTTAAAAACTATTTTTGTTTTTTTATCCACTATCAAGTACTATAGATTTAAATTAGTTTTTTTTGTTAAGGATGTACATTTAAATGCACTGAAATACAATACTTATAAAAACATAGTTAGGTAAATGTAAAATTACAGTTTTTAATAAACACTTTTAAAAAGTATGAGAACAAAAACTACAGTAATGTGAGTAAATTCATTACTTTCAACCTCTTTTTAGATCTTTCTAAAACTTCTTCCAGTCTTTTAGATTATAGATAAAAGAAAAAATAAAATAAAAGAATGCAATAAAATCCCAAAAATGTATTTTGTAAATAGTTTAGTAGCACAAGTCTTCATGTTTTTCCACAAAAGACAAAGTATTTTGGCCAACTTCAACCAAGGTCTATATCTTAGGATTTTACCACCATAATTGTCTGTGAACAGATGGGAATCCTGAATGGACAACATTTTCCCAGAAAATGTGTAAAATCAATACCATGAAGATAATGAAAGCATCGGAGGAGAATCAGTAAACTTCTAATATCGTCAGAGCTTTAAACTGAAACACTTTAATCTACAGCTGTCCTTACATTAGTAACACAAAGTCTGCGTGTCTAACAAGAGTGAAGTGTCAGAGCAAGATACAATAATCCACAAGTTTCACCCCTGTCTCCTCCACCCCGCTACAGCGGAGAGACAAAGAGAGAGAGAGGGGAGGAGAGAGAGATGATAGCATTACTCACAATCCATTACCACTCCCTGGAGACGGTCTGCATACACACAGATGGAGGGAGGAGAAGGTGATGATGGTGAACGTGTGAGATACAAGGAGAGAGAGAGAGAGAGAGAGAGAGAGAGAGGGTTGCTTTGGGTTTTTCATGGTGTTTGTTTGCTGGAGAGTCTGTGGTGAAGCAATATGAAACTCAATTAGCCCTTTTTTTTTTTTTTTTTTTTTTTTTTTTTTTTACAATAAGCATCTGCTCAGGCTCCTGTAGAGACGTCACAGGCTGATGACTCGTTTGGTTCAAATGAATAAATGTTGTTTTTTGTTGACCTGTAACTTTAAACACACATGGTGTCCAGAGGTTTATTAGGTCTGGGTTGGTATTTGCCCTTGAAAGTCTTATTATGTGGCCTTTAATGCCTCCATAAAATGTAAAAGCAAAATGACTAAAGTCTGAGGCCTAAGGACTAAGGTCGTAATTTTTTTTTTCTTCGTCTCTTTTGGAAGAAATACAGAAAAGTGTTTTCTTCATGTTGTCAAAAAGTAACCAGCTAAGCTAAGGAGCTAACGGTTTGCTGGATAAGTTTTATTAAAACAAAGATATTCCACAATATGACAAAAAAAAAAATTGAAATTTAGACCACAAATATACAGCTGTTAGTATGGGAAAACACTAGCTTAGCACTAGTTAGCGTTGAAAATTTAAGAACTTTTTGTTAGACGCAAGCTCAGCTACTCAACTCAAGCTAACTCCAGTCACGGAGACAAGAACGTAACCAAATGTACAGGCAGATGAGTGTGGTAAAAGTTTAACACTTTAACACTGGAAAATCTTTAAAAACATCCTGTAGTGCTGCCAGAAAGAAGTACATTGTTGGAACAGCCACTCACACGATAAGGCAGGAGTTTACCTTTTAGCTCAGAGGCTAAAGCTAAATGACTAAACCACTTTTCCACAAATCAGGTTTGTTTTATTAATTTTTTTGAGGGGAAGGATATACAAAGTCCAGGAATAATAATACGCACAGGTACATATACATTTCTATATATATTTGGTCAATGGTACAGGTTATGTACAAACGGAATATTTACACCACAGATTTATACACTCCTGCTTTTTTTTTTTTTTTGTATTTTTTTCTTCTCCATACTGGTGCGGAGTCTCTGTTTCAGTGCCATCTGGACGTTCCATCTGGTTCCTTCTCAACCATCTCACTGTGTCACCGCTCCACCACACTGTCCCGCCACCACACGTTTCTCTGTAAGTCCTTACATTTGAAGGTTGCAACATTTACCCTCAGAAGAAGTCAAGACATTAGGGTTTTCCCCCCGACCGTCTGCAGCAGAGGGTGGATGTCGTGGGCAGGGCAGACTGGAAGTCTCCTGGCTGGTCATTAGCCACAACGTCCAGAAAAATGTTCAACAATAGCAAAAACTGTGACTGACAAATCTCAAAAATAATGATGTTTATCAATGTTAATACATCAGAGTTTTAAGTTTAATGGCTTTAATGGCAATACTGAGCAAAGAAAGTTGAGATTATCCCACGTTTAATGGCAATACTGAGCAAAGAAAGCAAAGAAAGTTGAGATTATCCCATGGTTTGGTCAAGGGTTTTATGCATAAATGTCAAAATCCTGCCTTTTGGAGACATTGGAGCAACTGTAAAGTTGAACTGAGTCCATAATGGGTTTTTTTTTTTTTTCAATTTATTTATGCTGTCAGGGCCATTAGGAATTTTTTCCTGGTCAGTTTGAGAGCTTTCTAAAAGTGGAAATTTAATTTATTATTGCAGGTAATTGTGTTGGGTAATTGTGCCGTATTTGCTGCAATTTTTTTTTTTGCTTTATCCTGAGATTTTATATATTTAAAAAAACAATTTCTGTTATTTTCTGCCATTAGTGAATTTTTTTTTCTTTCTTTGTACAGCTTTTAGCTGTAACAATGTTCTATTTTGCTTACATTTCCTTTCATTTGTATTCATGAACTGTGAGCCGAATTTGACTTTTTGTTTCTACTAACAGCAGCTAGGTTGGTGGAAAAATAGAGAAACATTAAAATAGTTTTTCATGAAATAATTGTGGAATATGTCTGAAATTCAAAAATGACCAAAACTGCCCCTCATGCATAATTTATACTAACGAAAAACAAGAAAAAAAATTCTACTCCCTGATTCAATATTTTTACATCACAGTACAGGATTTTTTTATAGTGCACTATATAAAAAATATAAAATATAGGGTCAACCGCAGGACTTTTTTTTATGTAACATACAAACACCCAAACAAACAAAAAAGGTGTAAACCGTCCAGTCCTTCTATTTACATCAATCTGAAACCTTTAAATAATCTTACATATGAAAACTATATTTTAGAAATCAGTTTCTGCTGTTCCCAAAATCTTTTTTTTAAATGTGAAGTGCATCTTCATTTAGTCTTTAATTACCTACATACAAATGATCCCTAATCTGTATAATCATCATCTCAGTGGAAGAGAAAACCAGAACATCCCCTCTGACCATGAAAAAAAAAACAACAAAAAAATCTGCAAGAACTTGAAACAATCACAATTTCAGACCAGTAGTTTTCTGACACTGCACATCAACAGTTGAACTTTTTTTTTCATGCACGTCCTTCAGCTCAGGCTCCTACATCACAATAACTTTGGTAAACATTTGACAGGTCCCAAAAATATTGGAAAAAAAAAAAGTTGAAATGTTCATACGGTTCACAGAACTGAAAAAAAAAAAGTCCAGGTGATCCTGATAGTTTTCAGCAGACTTTAAAGGAAACAGCTTCCTGTTTCAGCCGAAATGGAAGTGAAAGAGAATGTTTAAATTCCTTTTTATTCAAACATCCAACCTCCCTCTGACCTCCGGGGTTCCTTGTGTTTCCTCCTACCCCAGGATGTCCAGGTACACTGGTGGGTTCTTGACCAGGGTCAGCAGGCGGTTGTGGATGTCCTTGATGACCATCCTCTGCTGAGGTTCTCTCTGCCAGCAGCCCTGCATCAACAGGTAAACCTCTTTGGGGCATGTGCGCGGTCTCTCCAGTTCACGTCCCTGTGTGATGCATTCAATGGCCTGCATTGAAAATAACATGAAACTTTAGCTCTAATACCTGTGGGACAACTGTTCCAGTTGTTTTACTAGCTAACCTAGCTAAACATTTGCAGAAAAATAAATTGTTACGGTATCTAAAATACAAATTTACAAATAAAATCTAAATAATAGAAGACTCTAAAGAGATACATATTAGCTGATCCATTGGTAATGCCAGTATTGAATTTAAAAGTTAGCCAAGATGGCTAAGTAAAAGCAATAGTAAAGTTGACATTTAGCCAAAATTGAGGTCAGAATTAAAAAAACAAAACAAAAAACACTAAAACGTCAGCAAGCAGGTAATACATTTATAATTTTGTTTCTGTAAAATATTTAAATATTCTATTCTATCAGGGAATGTATTGAAATATTGACTGCGTCTAGTAGTGTCGACAGTCTATTGACAATGTTATTGTTGTATAAATCGTTAATTATCAGGGAATGTATTGAAATATTGACTATGTCTAGTAGTGTCGACAATCTATTGACAATGTTATTGTTGTATGATGTAATTTTCCCAAAAAAATCAAAAAAAATCCACTGTTCACCTGACTTGGCTTTAACAGGCATACAGCCTCTAAATCTCCCTGTCTTTGCTCCCTGGTGAGTAAATTAATCTACACAGTGTTGACATCGTAGGGAATCACGTCACCCAACCTTCCAACAAATGATGCTACACACGGCTCACATTTAGCCTCACATTTAACATCATTGATGGGATCATGTGACACCAGACTGGCTCTGAAGCTTCTTTGTGGATACTGATATTTGAGATTTAAATAGTACTGACTCAGATGAGTACTACACGCTCGTGAAGATGATAGTGTTTTCTTTTAGCTCTAAACATCAAGAGATATCCACACACTACGAGGGAAAGGACAGAAGTATTTTTAGGGTAAGGAGTTTGAAATTGAAATGAAGCTGTTATGCTTTCATGCCGTTTCACACAAAGTGTTTTAGCAAAGATTTTGCTTTTTTTCCTTCTTTCTTTAGCTAATTTTAGCTAATTTTATTTGTTAGTTGGCATTTATTGTTTTATTAGCAGTATATTTGGCAAATAAATGCTTATGTTGGTTTTCACGCATCTTATATACTTATTTACCTTTAACACTTTTAACTAAATTTTCTGCTTTCTTGGATTTGTTGTTGCCTTCCTAACTTAGAAAGAGAAATAAATATATATATATATATATATATCTAAACACCATCTTTATCTGTCTGCACTCATGAAGATAATAAAGAAAAATAAATAAATTAAACTAGAAACTAAATACACAGGGGAACGTCTGTGATGCTGTGGCTGATCAACAGACCTAACCACAGAAATCATCTCAATATAAAAACATTTCAAAGACCTCCTCTAATATTTAGGGTCTATTTTTATTTCAAAGCTGCGAGACTGAATAAAAGCATGACTTTGCTCAGAATAATGTTGTGAACGATCTGCGCCTTTTTTAAGAGGCGCACATTTGCCGACGTGTTGGCCAAACGTGAGTAAGTGCCATCCCTGACACTAATGGCTGCAGTGACAGATTGGGTTCACACGCTCTTTGAACGTCTTTGAATAAATCACTGTCGAGGATTAGAGACGAGTGAGGATTTCCCTACTCTGTTTGTTGAAGAGTTACCGACACGGTCTCTCCTCCTCCTCGTTAACCTTTGACTGATGCAGCGGACAGAAGAGGCTGTAATGCTCTTGTCCATCAGTGTCAGTGTTTTGGGGATGATTTATCTGCGTTGCTGTGTGTTTGGGCAACAGGATCGTTCAGCCTGTCCGTCATTGGCCCGAGACGGATTAGGATAACGAGGTTACAACTCATTGGCCCTCGGTAAAAATGAAAAACCAATGGGATTAGAATCGAGTGCCGAGGAAAAGCGATCTACCCCGGTCCTGAAAGCAGAGAGGGTTACGTGCTTTAATAGCAGGGCTGTGGTCACAGTGGAGTCCCACTTCTTGGTGCTCCAGCTAAAAAGGCCAGACTGAACTACCCCTAATTACTATCAACGTATTGATCAGCTTAAGAGCAGGGGCTTCGTAAAAAGTTTAGCTACTGAAACACAGTAGCATGTACAATTGTAATGAAAACACAAATAGCACAGCGGGAGAAAACTTTCTCATCCTCCCAATGAAGTGAAAAATACTTTCAGTACAGTGTTCTTTCCTCAATTCCTGCGACTACATCCTGTTGTGTTCAACTAAACAGACTCAGGTTTCACATTGAGTAAATCAGTTGTGAGTGAACTGAAACTAGAAGATGATTATATGTCATGTAAATGTAGTTTTTGTGACATTTTTGTTTGCAGCTGAACAGTGGGATTTTTTCAAAAGCAAATAGTGTACACTGGGTCGAAAAAAGGTTGTGAGACATTAGTCTGGATCAAAAAGTAATGGAAAAAAATGAAGGGAATAAACCCTAGTAGTTACATTTATCATTTTAATGCAATATTTTTCAATGTTTTTCCAGGCAAAGACAGCTTTTTTGGTTGTTGATATTCTGAAAAATACTTTTGTGGCTAGGTTTGTGTATATAGGCCAGAAATCCACGGAAACATCTTACCATTTTAAGCTGACTTGAAAATATTTTTTGGAACATCTTCCATTACTAAGTACTCTAACTACAGATACATTTTTGTTGAATATTGTAACAATGGTATAACGAACAAAATTCTATTTCAAATATTAATTCCACCTCACCTCACTGTTGGACAGCTGGTACCAGGGCTGTTTGCCATAGGTAAAGATTTCCCAGAGGACAACACCGAAACTCCAGATGTCACTCTCAGTGGTGAACTTCCTGTACATGATGCTCTCTGGGGGCATCCAGCGAATTGGCAGCATGGTGCGTCCACCAACCTGTGGACAAAGATACACACCTTTGAGAGCAGTGTTTGGAATGTGGGAAATGTCACTGATAAGATGGATGGATGGATGGATGGATGGATGGATAGATGGATGGATGGATGGATAGATGGATGGATGGATAGATAGATAGATGGATGGATGGATGGTTGGATGGATGGATAGATAGGTGGATGGATGGATGGATGGTAGATAGATAGAGATGAATAAATAACTGTTTATTGTATTCTATAGATGTTGTTATGTAAGGATCAAATGAGTTCAGTTTGTGTACAATAATTCCGTCTGTTTTTACTGCGGGGTCAGGAATTTCCTGTAATAGCGTTACCCTGTAGTAGTCCGTGCTGTAGATGTCCCTGGACATGCCAAAGTCTCCGATTTTCACCACCAGTCCTTCTCCCACCAGACAGTTGCGCGTTGCCAGATCCCTGTGGACAAAGTGCAGCGATGCCAGGTAGACCATGCCCGAGGCAATCTGTGCAGCAATCTGCAACATCTGAGGCAGAGTGAGCTGACCCAGAGGGGGCAACTTAGAATCTTCCAGGATCCGTGCGTCAGGACCATGAGCTCTGCACGACACAAGAAAATAAAGGCAGAGATTTTTAGGTTCAAAGCAGACATTCGCAGGCTAACAGCTAAAACCAGGAGGTGGGTTCAAAGATTGCACGACACAAGAAAATAAAGGCAGAGATTTTTAGGTTCAAAGCAGACATTCGCAGGCTAACAGCTAAAACCAGGAAGTGGGTTCAAAGATTAGAATAAAAAGAATAGCTGCAAGTAACGTAAAATTGTTAAAACATAGAAAAAAACCCCGAATTAAAATATTTACATTTCCTCTACAATTAAGACCAAATTAAGGCAGAACTGCGAAAAAAAAATTAGTTAATGCGATCAAAATCTCAAATACAATACTTAAAGTCAGAGCTTTATAAAAGCAGAAACGCATTTCTTAATCTTTGTTTCTCGTGTTTCCAGAAAAAACTAAATTCTTCCTCATTCCTAATCAATTACTATAATATAACTTATATTTAGATGCACGGCTCGTCCAGCTTTTAAAGTTAACTCAGCAAACAAAGATAACAAAGATATTGTGTAAGATAAGATATAAAAATATAAACAGAACCAGATTTTTGATGTTACCCATAAATTAATTTAACATAACATTAGCTCAGACTTACAAAAGCATTTTTTAAATGTACCAAAAAACAATTGTTACAAAATACTTTATGATTTTATCAAAGATCAACACATGTAAGAAATGTCTGAAACAGTAACATTAAAAAAATCCAAACTCTTCTAAAAATATATATTCCATTTATCTGCTATTACATTATATATGCTCTGTTAATGAGATTTTAACAGTTACTTTTCATTTTGAATTTAGCTATTATTTGTTAAATGTTTTATTTATTGGGAACTATATGTCTGTTGTGTAAGAAGATACATTTGCATTCGTAAAAGAAAAAACAGGCTCCACTCCATGTGATCTCCATCGGTCATCGGCCGCTCACATTAATCACAAACCGAGCTCGGCTTCTGAATGCAACGGTAACTATGGCATCAACCTCCACTGACCTGCGGGACAATTAACTCAGCAATGTCCGATCTGCAATCTGCAAGATTGAACATAGGAGAGCTCTCGAGAGCATGGCAGCCGCGGTCGACATGACCACCCCGTAATAAAGCCATTTAACAATGGCTGCTAATAGGAACCATAAGGCTCCTGATGTGGCCACAATTGATTTGCAATAATGCGATTCGGAGACGCAGAGGGCAGTGATCATAAACTCCCACTCTCACGTCTCTCCCTCACTGTAGAGCCAAATGAGCAGATCACAGATGATGTGTCTCCATCCGTCCTAATATCTCTCTCCTCCTTCACAAAGGAAGTTGTCTCCACCATATACAGTATTAGTTTAAAGGGGCAGGTGGCAGGGGTGGGAAAGCAGCTGCATTGTGGGAGCACACAGACGTTTCTCCCACTCTGTCTGCTGGAAATGTGATTTTCAGCTGTTTGGTGAGTACACAGTGTAAATCTGTGTGTCTTCACTCTCGGCCTCTGTCTCCCACGGTGGACGGCACCTGTCAGACAGCATGAACCACATCAGGCCAGAATTCATTATTATTACCATTCTAATACATGTTTGTTTTTTTTTGGTTTTTTTGCTGTGGTTCGGGTTGGTTTTCAACAAGTTCCAGGTACAGCTCTAAAAGCACGTGTGTCAAACTCAAGGCCCGTGGTCCAAATGCGGCATGCCAAGTCATTTTTTTTGGGCCCGCGGAAGATTAAAAAGTGTTTAATTGCCTTATAATAAATCAATTATAACTATTACACAGAGCAATTTACAATTTTTGAATAATAATTTGAATAAGTAACAATCAATTGCAGAAACATGTATTAATACGTTATGGAGTAGTTACTGCTATACATTGCAGTTACAGCCGGCCCTTAAAGGGGAACTGTGTGGCTGATGTTAAAATGAGTTTGGCTACCCTGTCTGAATATACAATGCCGAGTCTCAGATCCTGGCACAAAGAAAAAAAGTCTGGTTCTCGGATTTCCAACAGAAATTCATGTTTTTGGCTGTTTACCTGTTGTTAGATCAGTTAGAACAGTTTATTTTACCCTACTGCAATCACCTGTTTCTGATTCACTTTGTTCCAACAAACCTAAGAAAGTAGTTCCGTCTGACATGGCCGACTGATCATTCTTCAGTCTGCACAGTACATTCCAGTGAAGGACTACAGTGACTGTTTCCTGTTTGAACCATTTTAGACTAGCCTTAGCCTGATGTCTTGGTTAGGTCACATCTCTTGCACTTGGTATTAAAATGACATTGTCTTACCGACAGTAGTAATAACTTTGTAATCACCTATGGTTTGTGTTTGAGACCACAGTGGACTCCTTAGAAACCACCTCTGCAGACGCCTCTAAACTGTGCTGCTTTTGAATGAGCCTTTAAGTGCGCGAACGGAAATGTTGTCACTTTCTCCTGAAAACAATTTCATCGTTATTATGAACTAATTTGCTCCATAACTGTTCTGTAAATGTGACTAAGTCCAGAGGAAATGTATGGTGTGCTGTGACGGGTTATTTATAAAAATGCAGTTGATTGAAAATATGCAGTAGCTGATGTTGTTATGGGGAGTCGGAGTTAAAGTACGCATTCAAAAATATTCAAGTGAGTCACAATAATTCTGCTCACTTGAGCATTGAAGATGAAGACAAAAACCCAATAATTAATAAAATAATAAATAACAATAATTAATTGTAAAATATATGAAAGTCACAAATAAAGCTAATTTAATCAGAGGTCTAAGTTTTGAAATGAAGAGATGCTGCTTGAGTTTTAATTTTCTTTTTTTTTTTGCAATTTGTCAGGAAAACTGCTGAGATGTTACAAATGTTTAAATGTCACTACAGCCCTGTACAGAAATGTGAGGTTAAACCTGCACTAAATCCTACAGAAGGTCACTGACGTAGACAACAGAGCAGGATCCACACGATTCTATTTTCTTATGAATTTCTATTTTTATGAAGGTTGATATTTGTCTTTAACTGTAAAACTCTGAGTTTGGAGTTTAAACAATGTCTTTGTCATTGTCATTGTCTTTCCTTAATGACATTTTCTTAGTTTTTCCTTTTAGTTTTTCTCAGAATGTTCAACATTCACATTATTAAAATATATAACGATAGATTTTTATTTTTCCTGTGAGATTGATAATTACACTGGGCTTGAGGCTCAGTTGTGACGTGTGTCTTTCTGTCTCTCTGTTTTTCTGCTGTGTAATCAGCCTCACCTGTGTCCTGTGATCACCTGGTCGTTAGTCTCACTGGTGTCACCTGCTGACCTACAGGTATATATACCTCTCTCCACTCAGTCAGGTTGGGTCAGTGTGATTGTGGGGTGTTCATGTGATTTTTTTTTTCTGCATTTCTTGTCTTTTGTTCTGCGTTCTGGTTCATGTCTGTTTTGCTGTCGTTCCTGACTGCTTATGTATCCAGTGAGTTATTTGGATTTTGAATGAATTTTCTGCTCCTGATCCACATCTCTCTTGTGCTACATGTGGGTCCTGCCTCCTGACGTTACAAGACGTAACAATAGTGTCTGCATTCTCAATGAAATGGTTTTACTCAGACACCTGAACAGCCCAACCTGATGTTGATGATAGCTCCACCTCCGACTATAGTAGTTGTTGTGGATCAGAAAACAATCATTACAGAGGAGGACGGAATGAGGAAAAACTCAATTTTTTCATGATTTTCTATAATTAAGAAAAGAAACCCTTCAATTTAAAACAATTCACTTTGGTTTTTCAGAGATGATTGGCTATTAAAAAAAAATCAAAATTTGTTTCTATGAAGGGATAGTCCTCTACGTACCGCAGAAAGCGATTGAGATCGCCATGCCTCATGTATTCAAACACCATGGCCAGAGGTTCTCCATCTGTGCAGACACCATAGAACCGGACAATGTGCTGGTGCTGAAGGACGGTCAGCAGCTCTGCTTCCCTCTGGAAGTCCTGTCTGGTTGACTCGTTAGCGTCCTTCAGGGTCTGCAACCAGAGAATCGGGCATTTACATCTACATCGATGCAGTTATTAGCAGGTCGTGGGCCAATTAATTAGGTCTTTAAGACATCTTGGGTAAATAGACACAACAATGTACACAGTACAAACTAAATAAAAAAATAGCTTAAATTTCTTTTTTAACTATATATTCAATTTTTTTTTTAAACTTTGACTTGGCAAAAGTTAGAATAAAATAGCAAATATAAAACTGCCAAAAATTACAAAAAGATTAGTAAAGCCTTTGAGAAAATCAAAGCATTAGTCAGAGGATGTTTTAAAGTTTTAAAATGTAGCAAAATAGGTGAAATAAAAATAATAAATAAAAACAAAAGGCTATCAAAAAACTAGGTCAGAAACAACAGAAATTGTTTTTGTTTTTTTTTTAAATAAAATCGTATCCTTTGAAGTTCACCAAGAAAAGACATGAGACTACTGCAGGTTAACTAAAGCTGAATTTAAAGCCTCAACAGCCCTAAAACCCAGTGGTCAGTGTATTAAACCACTGTGTGGTCTGCATGTGTACAATCATCACTCGTCCTGCAGTGAAACAGAAGAATGCCTGATTGATGGCTGAATAAAGCCTCATCAAGCCATCTTTTTTTTAAATTTTTTTATTTATTAGCTGTGGTTTACATTAACCTGTTGAAACACGAGCTCTGTATTAAAACCACCTCTAACAAAGACATCTCTGCCGGTGAAACCACAGGATGTTGACTCACTGTGGAAGATTCTAGTGTGAGTGCTGCGCACGTACTCACTCAGGACATTTGTGTGATTGAGTTGGATTAAGTATTGGCATTTCTGTGGTTTATGTATACGTAGGATGAGGAGGAACTGGGGGCTCATTAAACGCTCGCTGTTTTTATATTGAAAGTTACTTCTTGTCTTAATGTGAGTTTTACTGCGCCCACAGCGTCAGTGTCTCATGTCTTTGTTTTGTGGGCGGAATTAGAAGAAAAGGACATTAATTATTATTCACCCAGCCATCCATCAATCTAGTGGTGAGAGGATCAGGCTTGTTGTCAAAAGGTTTGAATCCCACCTTGGCTGGCAGTGGTGTGTTTAGCACAGGGATGGGTTGATGGGTTAAATGCAGAGGCCAGATATCACTGTGTCTATATGAGTCTGTATGTACTATGAAAATCTGTGTATTTATACTATAGTTCTTTGTTAGTATAAAGGGGAGCGGAGAACGGGGGGGTTGTTCTGGACCCTTTTATATCCTTATTACCAATGGGCCAATCACAAACTGGGTTGGAAACAGATGCTAACCTTTATGGCCACTAGCATCTTGTCACTGTCTGGACTCAGGTTGGCGCACTCTGCCAGGTAGACCTTCCCGAACGCTCCCTCGCCCAGCTCCCACTTCAGCACAATGTCCTGTCGTTTGATGTGCTGGACACCTGGAGGAGAATCGCACGGAAGATTCACACTCGTCACATATCAGACACTGATTGATCGCTTCCTGTTGGTCTTAAACAAAGGAGACATCTTTACGATGCTAACTTTAATTTGTTGTTACGGCTCTTTGTCTTCAACCTGCTGTTTGTCAATTTCCTTCAAATGGCTGTGATTATGTTTCATTTTCTTAATTGCTACATAACAGAGAACAATACTTAGATCAAAACATAACTGTTTTCAAAGTACATTTTTTTATTGATGTTTGGTCCCCGTGTTTATGTTACTTTATTGATGTTTGGTCCCCGTGTTTATTGATTATTATTTATTTTTATTTATTGTTTTATACATTTGATGCTCTTTGTTCTTCTGATTCCACTGATCTTAGCTACAATGTTTAGATCATTAAGGCTTCGGTAAACAGTGGATTTGTTCGACCAATAAGGGAAATCAATTTCTCAGAGTTGCTACTAATTCCTTGACATTTTGTTTGTTACATTAAGACATTTTTGGCCTATGTTTGTATAATGTTTAAGACTTTTTCGCTGACAGTCCGTCAAAATGTATTTTTTAGAACATACTAAAAATGTATTGCTACAGGGTTTGCAAATACTAATGTGTTTATAGACACAACAAGTCCTTTGCCAAAGGCCTTGTCACTAAAGCTCTGAGGGAAATGCAGAGTCCAAAGACTGGAGTGAAAATACATAAAAGAGCAGATGATCAAAAGTTAGATTTTAAACACAAAATACTTCCTGAATACTTGGTCTTTATGATTCAAGGGCACCGAGGTGTTTCTGTGGAACATTTAGTAAAACCAGTCCCTGGTGTGAAGTCAAAACAACAATCAAATGCACCAAAATGACTCACACATGTCTTTGTCCTTGAAGATGCCACAGAAATACTGCGGATTCTCCACAAAGCTGGACAGACCGGAGTCTTCGTCCGATGAGGGTGGGCTGGAACCAAAGTTCATGAATCGAAGCGACACAGCCAGGTCGTCCTCCGTACCCAAAACTGATGATCCTAATGGAAGGGGCAGAGTGGTAAACAACAGCCCCAACAGATACACCGAGTCACCTAATCAGTCTCCTGCCATTTACATTGAAAAGAAGTAATTCTGAAGCCATTTTTCCCCTCATTCAAGGAGTCGCTGCTCTCCAACACCAACTTGGTTCCACATTTGTTGGTACCATGGTGACAGATGATGACAAACTCTAATAATCACCATCATCAGCCGTGCGGCAATCAAGCTGCATTGATGTGAAAAAATAGAGGCCATATAGGCAGCCTGAATGGTTAGCAACCCCTGACTACAGTGCATATTAAATGCCAAACAAGCAGGGTCCAAATTGTAAAACTCCACTCAGCAAGGCAAACCACAGAACCCCCAGAGTCCAACACGATAGAAAATGGAACAACAAAGAGAGCACAGAGGCGATGGAGGGAAGGAAACAGGGAGCAGGGTCCACTTAGGCAATCAGACCCACTTAGGCACTTTGGTAGTGAGAAGGCTAAGTGTGTGTGTGTGTGTGTGTGTGTGTGTGTTTTGGGAATGGAGCGTTGGGCTAGAGGTAGTTTCTCCAGCATCCATATATTCACCCACCCATCCATCAATCTTCTTTAATAACCCTTACCACATGGTGGTGGTGGCTGAGGCAGGTCGAACCACCATCTTGTAATTAAGGCACTTTAGCCCGACTGACATGTGCAGCTTTGGCTGGATGTGTGCACAGTAGTTCTACATCCGCAGGTAAATCACAGCTTAGCTGGTCTCCTCATCCGTTCACCTCTGTGAGACTGACAGGACCAGGTGTGAGCTAAAAGTACTGTATAATTTGGCAGGATTTCTGATTATGAGTCATTTGCGATTCTGCTCAGAAATGTGCTCCTAAAGAACACGTGGTTCTAAGACAAAGTACAAAGTACACGTTTTTGGTATTCACAGGTCATGGACTATAAAGCAGTGCAGGGTTGATTACAAACTGGGGATTCAAACTGAATCAGAAAGAACAGTATGACACTGAGCCAACGCTGAAAAATTGGTCAAAGCTGGCAACAAACACCGGCTGGTTTTGGCCCACGGGCCGTATGGTTGACCCTGATCGAGGACATAAAAGCATCAGAAGAGTCAACAACAGCAAGTTCCCAAAAAACAACACAAACGCAAGAGAGCACAATCAAATGTATAGCGTACAGCTGGCAAATGTAAATGAAGTCGTCGTCTGCATATAGTGTCATGTGACAGTCCATCTCCTCCAAACACCGACTAGTTCCAGTGCGAACGCCCTACGTCAGAATGATGGACTTACACAATACATTTATGGGAGATGGCGACATGACCACGAAACGCTGTAGGTTGAGGTCCATGTAAACCAAGGACCCCGTGTGTATAGTACATAAATATTAACCATTCGACCAATAGATTCTACAAAAACATGTATACAAGTATAAAAACAAACATAATTATATAGAAACATTTAGTAAATGTATATTTTTGTTTGAAGATGAACTTACGGTGAATGCCAAACTTTGAATGTTGACCGCATTTATTAATGATCAAAAACATGATGAAAAGGAAGGTGCAGGCGAACACGGCGAGACCCACGGCTACAGACACCTGTTGAAGACAAAACAAGTTAGCACTTAGCATCCAACGTGTGATGAAGTCATCACTACGTTTGCACATCTGCGAAGCACAACGTACCATGAAAACGCGACTCTCTGGGTTCTCTGTGACGTCCATGTCTGATTTGTTGGTCGGAACTGCAGGGGGAGATGTTTTTTTAAATACATTTTGTCATCATTCTGTTGATGGGTAAAAAGATTAAGTTTAAATAAACCTAAATAAATGAGTGACTTACATGGATCCAAATTATTGACTGGCATGAAAGAAAAATAAACAAACATGTTAGTAAAAACTTTGCAGGCAAGTCTAATATAAAATCTATCTATAGGGAAAATGTGGGCATTGCAGGGAAAAGGCAGAACTATAGTCACAATACAAACACACTATATAATTTGAACAGTTTTGGGGGGCCGGATAACAAAGCCTGACAGGCCGCATCCGGCCCCCGGGCCTTACTTTGCCCATGCCTGCCCTAGTCCATACTAGTATAGACAACATGAAACTATGAATAAAAATGAGGTATCGTAATAATATATTTATAATGTATATATATATATATATATATATATATATAATGTATCATATTGGTAACGTCACCCAGCTACTGTAGGTTAGTGATAATTTGAGCCATAGAAATAAAGTTAGCTAGACACTAAATCAAGCTAGCTTTAAACTAGCTTTTTTCATAATCTAATTACCTATAAATAACATTAAGTCCATGTTTTTCTCTTTTGTTTTCATGCAAATAAGTTAAAGTTTATTAAAAAATCTTCATATTTAACGAAATATAATTTGACAAACGTTTTGGCCCACGGGCCGTATGTTTGAGACCCCTGCCTTAAACCCTCTTCTTTCATAGACACAGATTAGAAAACAGTCACAGGAACTCACTGGGGATGATACCCTCAGGGTCGAATGGTTCAAATGGGTTGCTCATGAATATCCCCACAGCAGTGGCCTCGTCTCTGCCCAGTCTGTTCTCCACAATCAGAGTGTAGTGGCCGTTGTTTATATGAGTGGGTTTGTTGAGGAAGAGACAGCCGTGTTTGACGGAGCCGTCGGCCGCCTCGGTGATCAGGTGGGTGTAGGTGTACTGGGTCTCCCTTAGTATTTTGCCATTGAATAGCCAGGTAATTCTCGGCTCAGGGTTCCCGTCTACGGCGAAGGGAAAACACCAGAAATGCTGCGGCACCGCGTCGCGGAGGAAGAGGATTTTCACTGGAACTGTTGGGAAACGACAGATTATTTGGACACAATGTTCATTTTTTGACACACAGAAAATAGGCTCATCTAACAACAAGTCTATGTTGGCAATTTTAGTAGTCAGGTCTTTATTGTTGCCATGTCACCTGTCGTATATAGTTTTCTTGTGTCAGGTGTAGTTTAAAGTAATATCCAGTATAATTTACTGGAGGGCTGGGGTGTCAAACTCATTTTGGTTCAGGGTCTGCCTACAGATGTCAAGCGGGCTGGACCAGTCATTACAATCATTAGCCTAAAATATATATATATATATTTACAATCATTAGCCTAAAAAAATTAAAATGGAAGTCTAGGGACAAAAGTGCTACAGTTTAAAATGCTTCAAGTCTAGGTAGAAATCGTAGTGAGTTGATTGACAGACTGAATAAATGCATTTCGTGTTGTAATTGTTTTCTTTTAATCTCAAAGTATTAATGAAACCTAAAGAAAATCGACTGGCCCTCGGAAGAACGACGTAAAAGAAATACTTAAAGATGGAAACCATCCAGGCCATTAATATGTAAACTACTTGAGTTAATGCACTAAGTTTCCACCACAGTACGTTAAATAATAATCACACAGACGACCCGGCCGTCTGTATACGTCATGCTGCATTGAGTGAACACTTTGACCGTATAGATAACATAAAGGTGGGCGACGCCCGGCCTGCTATAGGTTCCCTTTGCGTTTCCATGAATCGATGATGTCCATCAGGGCTTCAGATCTGCGCTGACCCGTTATGAATAATGAATCCTGGTCCTACTTGTGCCCCCGACCACAAAAAGCTACCTGGAAGAGCAGCTGGACACCCAGTTACAGGAAACGGCGGCGTCTAAGATCGAACCGCACTGGAGTTCAGAGACCCCTGGTTGTTGCTCGTGTGGCTGGTTTCTTACTGCACCTGACCTCTGACCCCTGCCTCAGGAAGTGCTGTGATAAAGAAAAAACTCAGGCAACTTCCCTCTAAAAACTCTTCAATTAGACCAGTGTCTGTACCGTTAGGGGAAATAATAGCTCAATTTATTAAATTTAACTAATTATCCATAAGTGCAACCATTTCAGTGCGGGGAATTATGTTAAATGAGGCTGACAGTTCAAAGACCTCTCTATAGAATTAGACAATGGACATTTAAAAAAACCCTGACTGTTCCAGACTGCGTTTCACTTCATCAAAAGAGAGAAGAAATGACAACTGCTCTAATAAAACCAATGGCCTGACTGTACATTTAAACCTCCAGTTTAAAGAATGAATCATGGACCAACATCCAGTACAGAAAATTACAACATGTAGGTTTTCTTGTTGTTGTTTTGTAACAGTCGCCAAGTATCTTTACCATCTTTCCAGAAGAATGGAGTTCACGAATACCTAAATTTAAAATGTATAAAAATGAATACTCAAAAAAGTATTTATTTGGGAAAAGAATTCATTTTATTTAATTGAAATACCTGATCATAATTGTCACCCCTAATTAAATCAGGGGTTAAATAGAGAGCTACAATTTTAATTTTGTTTAATTGAAAAAAGGTCCAAAATGACACCTGACTGTTGGAGATCGTTTTCCTCTAAAAGGGTCTGATTGTTTGATGAACTCATTTTAACTTCTATGGAAAACTTCATCTTAACACTCACTGACCAAGTGAAATGAAAAAAGAAAAATCTCTTCCCTGTGAATAGAATGAAACGGATAAATCAGCGGCACAGCGAGCCTCTCAACAGTGAACACCCACTATTCTAGGAGGTAATTAAGAGTAATTAAAGGGCCGGTGGTTAACGAGTGTCTGTCCACCAGTGGGGGCTGATGTTGATAGATTAGCCGCACTAACACATTTACAGCCTGCCAATCAGTGCGGATGAAGCGGTTTTCCGGAGTGGGAGGGAAAAGTCCATTAGCAGGGACTCAAATCAGATATTCGCGCGGGTTATCAGCCCCCATTTTCCTGATGTTCATTATCTGTCCCCTGATGCTTGTGCATTTGGCCTCAGCTGATTGGCGCCCTCGCTCGCTTTTTGGAGCTTTATTTTCTAATGAGTGTCATTGGGCCGGGGTTGATATATGATATGTTTTGGGGCGGCATTGTCAGTAATGTATGACTAATGCATCAGAGTGTGTTTTCTGTGGGACCGCCGGGTGCTGTCATTCCCCGCCGCGTTCCAACTTCCAGACGCACTAATGCATCTCACGAAAATAGGGAAAAAAACAGCGGTAAACCTCCTGGGTCAAGCTGCAAGTGTAATTTAGGAGAATATGAAGCGCGTACGAGGTGAAGTAGTGCTTTCAGAGCCGGCAGAAGTAAGTTCGCTCTCCTTTGTCCTCCCTCTTTGCCCCCATACATTGAACAGCGAGCCATACCTGCAGCACTTCAACTCATTATTTTAACTCTTTTCAGCAGTTGCCAGAGTGAGTGGCAGATGACAGAGAGCTCCATTAGGAGCATGGTGGGTACATACTCATATCTGAAGTAGGAGCATTTAGAAAAAAAAAATCAGTACAGTGCAATTTTCCCTTTTCTGTTGCTGTCCACCTAACCTGTGCTGGGGAAGGAAAAAAAAGGCTCCCAGTGTGTGTCTGTGCTCGCCCTAACCTCCATTAAGCCTGACGACCTGCATTGAGCCGGTGTGCTTTCAGAGGAGCGGGTTTTTATTTTGCAGGCACTTACACTCAATGTCCAGTGTCACCATCTCCTCCGTCGGCCCAGCTTGGTTCTCAGCCTCGCATGTCAGATTGCGCAGGTTGTCTTTGGCGGAGACGTTGCCGAGGTGAAGGACCAGCTCCACAGTGGAGCCCCAGACTCTTTTCTGACAAAGAGTAAAAGACGAAGGGAGTTAATGTCTGCAGTGGTCACAGTGACAAAAGCTGCAGCTGGAAGGTTGCAGGTTCAAATCCACCAGTCGCCAGGTGCCACTGAGGTGCTCTGAGCACGGCACCGTCCCCACACCCCTGCTCACTTTGGTGATGGGTTAAAGTTCACCTTTGGTTGTGTGTAGTGGTGTGCTGTGTCACAATGACAAGTAGTTCACTTTCACCTTCAGCTGAGAACGACGAAGTGAGATTCATTTTACTCTACTGCAGATCACAAAACTATCTTGACCTGACAGGGATTTAGTTATACAACAGGCAAAATGAAGTTAAAAACTATAAAAATATTCCAACGGTCTCAAGGCAACCCAGAACCTGACAATGTAATTCAAACAAGGTTTATTTGTAAAACAACTGCGACGTTTCAAGCAGAAATCCTCAATATGAAAAGTGAGCTTAAATCAATATCAGAAAAAAAAGTACCTATTATCCTTGACCAAAGGTTTTACACAAGACCCAAAACAAAAGGCTTCAGGCCTCGGGGAACAATAAAGCTCTTTCATTCAGATTTACTTTTACGTATACGTAAGCTATTAACATGGCGTACAGAACGTCTTCCTACTAGGAAGGCAGGTACTGCTCAAACAAAGATTTAAAAAAAGAGTGGCTATGTCCTGAAGAAGAAAATAAGCAAATAAAAAAGGACTTTGATTACCTCAGTGAAGAAAGGAGAGTGGAGCTCATCTGTTCGCCATCTCACATTGGGAATGGGATTTCCTGTCACGTGACATTCAAACACCAGGTTTCCTCCTTCTTGAGTCTTGTCTTTAGAGGATTTAATGTGCACCACAGGCAAACCTGACGAGGTAGCAGGAGAAGAGCGAGGCACAAGACCAGAGCCGGGTCAGACATTGAATTTCAGGCAGAAATATCTATAAACCACTCAAAAAAATAATAAATATCAACTTATTACTATAAATAAATTCCAAGAAAAACAACATTAAACATAACTGAAAAAGGGTTAAACAAAAGTAACTTTTAAATGGTAATCAAAAGTAAAAATATTTGCAAACGTAAAAAATACTTGAATATGGAAAAATAATATGGAAAAAATAAAAGCAGTATTAAAAAAGTAACAAATGGGTTCCCTAGAAAATCAATATATATAAAAAAAAAAAAAAAATATGGGAACAGCTACGTAAAACACTCACATTCCCCTAAAAAAACGTACAAAATGCCACTAAGCCGTGTTTCACAGAAAAGTTCATGCCAAGCCTTGGTTTGGCCTTCGGTGTGTGTTTCTGATAAAATGGTACATCCAACGAGAAAAAAAAAGAACTAAAAATCTCTCTTGTGTATGTTTCCTGGCAACAAGATGTCTCTACTCTACAGTATGTGATTTCGGCAACGAAGCGTATCTAATTTCTCCGCTGCATTCACCGCACCTGCTTGTTAAGGGCACTAATAGACAGAATGAAAACAACAAATTATTTTTCTTTTCTTCCCCAGTCCATCAGGATGGAGCCGGATCATTAGGGTTCTCCACATGAGCGAGACAAAAAGGAATGAAAACAGGAAAAATAATTCTGCTCGTTACTAGTTCTTCTACAACAAAACGAAATTACAAATAAAAAAAATAAAGATTTTTCTGTTACCCTATAAAAAATATCAACTTTTAGGCAATGACGAAAATTGCGAATTTCCATGCGATTTGCTGTTTGTCTTTTGTGTGACTTGTGTTCCGTGGTGTACAGTGAACTCACTGCAGTTATCGATCACCAGCGAGACAAGCGGAATTTCCTGGTTTTCGGAGACACACGTCAACATCTGATTGTCTGCGTCGCCTCGTTCGCTGTGCTGCCACTGCTGCAGCCAGTAAAGGTCACAGGAGCAGACCAGAGGGTTGTCCCTCAGCACCCTGAGGGGGAAAAAAAACAACACAAATTACAATTATGAAGCAATTTTCCCTGAACTACCCATGTACAGCAGTTTGACACACAGTGATTCCCAGGATGCATTTTTCTTTTTCTCTGCACTGACTGTTTTTAGCTGGAGGTGTTTTTGAACTTACAAGATAAAAATATTTAGCTATGTTGGAAGCTTATTTCCTCAAATGAAAAAAAGCAACATCAGTAAACATTGTGTTTTAATCCGTCAAAACATACTCACAAATTGAGCAGTGGAAGAAAATGAAACACCCTCCAGGAGATGTGCTCCAGAGCGTTGGAAGCCAGGTTCCTACAAAACAAAAGACAAACACAAATTAACATCAAATAACGTTTACAAGTTGGGACCAAGTTTAGACTATGGTATTAAATAATGATGATTAAATATGATTTCATTTTAGGATTGAAACACAAAAAAGAAAAGAAGGATTAGCTAGAGTTAAAGACTTTTGGAAATATATATATATATTCTTTGGGCGCTGTTACCATTCACGATCACAAAGACTGAATGACTGAGAGACTTTTTCTAAAAAAATAAACAAACAGATATTACTTCTACTTCTAGTACTACAACTTCTACTACTACTACTACAACAACTACTACTACTACTTCTACTACTACTACTACTAATAATAATAATTATTAGTATTATTACTATAAAATGTCCTGCTTTAGCAATAGGCTTCCTGCATTAGACTGTACGTTACTTGGGCAAAAATAATAAGAATGATACAAGGAGAAGAAAAAAGACAAAAAATAATTCTGTTTTTTTAATACAAAAAATAATTAATTTTGACAAAGAATACACTTTTTAAAAACACACTATTAAAAAAGAAAACTACATTTCAGCTTTTGAAAATAAAAAGTATTGCAATTTTCCTTGCTGTAATCTGTTGCTGCTCTGCTGCTGAATCCCACAGTGATTTGATTGCTCTCTGTCAGAACAATGCTTACCTGCTTTGAAAAAAACTGGGCGTAATAAAAACCCCACAAAAATCAACAGCGTTAATGCATCCAAATGGATTCTGATCAATTACCCCTGACAAGTGTTTCACAACAGCCAGGAGCCAACACCTTCGGAGCAGCTCTTCATGTTTGCATGTTGTTAGGTACATTAGGAGATTAGTCACACAATTCTCAGAGGAAGGAAGGAACAAGCAAGGAGAAAGGCTTTACAGGGCTGCAATTTGGCTTTTTGTTTTGCTCTACCGTAAGAATATAATGGCTGTACTTCTGCACAGTTCACTGCTAAAAGTTTTGCCAACTTCCATCTAAAACTAAAGTTTACTAAAAGAGATATAAGAACGTCTGTTCTTTTCGGTCATCATGAGGTTTCAAAATATTTTGCTGAAGAGGGCTGAGGACCAGCTGCTCCATCAGAGCAAGTAGATAGATGTCCCAATATTAAATAAATACTTGCTTTCTCAAGGCTAGGAAATTGTTTTTTTTTTTAGTGGCAATGTTCTTTTAATTTCTGGGAGAGTTTTTACCTGAAATCCATTTGGCTTCAGAACGTTCCAGAATTTCTAAGAAATATGGTTTTTTTTTTTTTAATGTAAAAGCATTGATGAATTAAAGACTACATTTACAGTAATATATGCTAGCCTGATGGATGCTATCCATCCTCTCAGCCCACTTGAATATCATCAGGGTGGCTCTCAAGTGTTCTTCAGACATGAAAAGTAGCCAGGATGTAAATAAGCCTCCCACTGAAGACGACACAAAGCTCCACTGGGGAGCACAAACATGCAAACCAATACATATTCACTGTGGCAGGGCCAAGGGTTCAATTATTTGTTTTCCTTGCTCCCAAAAGTTCATGTCAGATGGGTTAGCCATTGGGGCTTATCCATTACCGGCTCGATTCCTGCCTCGGTCCATAGGGGGAGAGACGGAGAGAGGAACCGGGAATAGCGGCTCTTCTTCTCTTTCAGCCATTCTACGGTGTTTTTTCAGCCAAAGAAAATGGAAGTGGAGGCGACTCGTGGATGAAGGCAGGGAGAGAGAAAACAAAAAAAAAACAAAACAAAACAAAAAAAAACCACACGAGTGCCACCATGCTCGCCTCCTTATTTACTTACCCTCTGACCCTCTTAATCACAGACACACATCTGTCACACATATGCGCCCCCACTTTGCCAACCCTCGGCCCACCCTCCACCTCCACGGTGAAATATTGATTAAGTGATAATGGACCCTTAGTGGAGTGTATTTATTATGCATCAGTTGTCGATAATCCGCCAAAGTGAGCGAGTAAAAGGTGACTGCTGGGTGTCTTCTCCAATTTCTCAGGCTCACCCACCAACATCACCGCTGCGGCCTCATCCTGGATGAAGCCACTTGTCTCTCAGATAAAGAAAATAATCAGACATGGTGCGCACACGTGTAAGAAGGACACGGGGACAAGATGGTGGAGATAAGAGTCTGGCGCTGATGAATAGACAGATGTCGTGGTTCCACTTCAACAATTTCTCATTTTAATTTATTAATGGGTCCAGATTTTGAGGCCCAGCTGTTCCGCGGTGATAGAGATAACATAATGTGAACCAACCATCTTTCTGCACATCTGTTTCCACGGCAAAAACAGAAATCATTAATGGAGTTATATGATGATTCCCACGATTGATTTTTCTGTTCAATTATCATAGAATAAGAAAAGTGACAGTGCAGTTACGTTGAGGGCTGAGGGTAAAATAGGGAAACTCAGAACCTGAGAATAATGTTTGATTCATTTTAAAACATAGCTCAGGATTTATAGGTAAATAGATAATAAAGCCCAGCACAATATTACATCTGCAATCAAAATCAATGTGATAGGAAAATATTCTCTATCAGTGTACATATATACATATATATACTGTATATACAAGTGTGTGTGTGTGCGTTAGTTTCATTGTCCTCATGTGACAAAGGCTGGTCAGCACTGACTGGCATCAACAAACAGACTGACGTACGTACTGGCCACAACAACACACAGGAAAGGTGATCGCTTTGTATTGACAAGGACACTTACACATACTGGAGCTTCAGGTTGTACTGGAAGGCATTGGTAGAGATGAGCCTCAGCTTACATGATGTGATGGTACTGAATAGGGGAGTAAACAACACACAACAATGTTACTCAGTGTAGTGGTTGGAGAACGGGGAGTGGGGGGGTGAGCTGCCTGTTTTTTTTTTTTTTTATTATTTATTTTCAACAGGCAGTGTGGTTGGATTGAACAATATCAAATGATCCTCAACGAGGTCCTGGCATGAATTAGCATTTGCTTTTTACTTCTGGACTTGCTCAGAATATAAGGACAAGGACAATGCAACATGAACTTCCATACAAACTCATACTGTGTCCAGGGCTCGTATACCTCTGCTGTGCTGAATTAATTTAATTTTTTTTTTTTGGTTAAGCAGGCCAGCTGAAGTCTTGTTAGAGAGTAATTCATGTTACATTGCACTTGCAAACATATTTTATAAGTAGACCTGTGACATCAGTGCTTTTTTATGGCAGTTTTTTCAGTAATTCAGTTCTATGACTGTATCTAGAGAAGACATTTTTGAGAAACCTGTTACAGACATATTTGAGAATGTCTCCTCATGGTGACGATGTTTAAACAAAGAGCTGACCATCTCCATGTCGCAATGGAAAAGCTCCCCTTTTTGGCACAAATGTAAACTGATTAGAGCAGCCACACTGCCTTATTTAGATCAACCTGAGACGCTAGAAATCCAGTCATCGTTGGTAATACAGTCCATTAAAAACAAGTGTAATCTGATAAGAACCAAAAATGTATTTTAGTAATGGACTCAAACTTTTATTTTTTAGCCAGAAGGAAAAAGAAACACCATGGTGACTTTGTTATGATGAGTCACATTCATTTTTTTTACTGTAAAAATTAAATTTAGAAATGGCCTAATTTCAAATAAGTGGACTTCCAGAAGGTTCTCAATTCAGGGGTTTGAATGTTTTTCTTCACCAGTGTCATCAAAAAGTCCCATTTTTCAGAAATTGTGAATATTTAACTTCATAGAGTGGGTGTAAGATTGACAGACCAGTCTATAGTCCAATACAGAGGTCAGATAACAGTAACTTTTAAGTTAAACTTCAACCATTACAACCATCAGTGTCTAAACATTCAGAAAGTGTATGGAACAGAAAGGAGGCATCTTCAGAAACTCTAGTTAGTGTTTTGTATGGATTTATGATAACTTCTATTAAAAATGTACAATTCAGTTGGCTGGGGAAAACATAGTTGTTTTTTGTGTTGATAAATAAAGATGCAGTTGACAATGCAATATCAAATACTTTCTTTTGTTGGTGCTTTTGGTGCACACACAGGGAGAATGTAAATATATGAAGACAAACGTGTGCGTGTACACATACTGTATTTACACATGTCAAAAAAAAAAAAAAACTTACAGGTTCTTCAGCTCTCGGTAGTGAACAAGGTCCAGCTCTGTGAGGTTCTCCAGGCCGACTTGGTTTTCAATGTAACTGTTTAATAATATAGAGCGAGAGAGAGAGAGAGAGAGGGGGGGAAAGAGAGAGAGAGAGAGCAGAGGATTCTCATGGTCAATGCAAACAATCTCTGGTGACCTTCAGCTGACTGCTGCACAGATGGATGTCCATCTAACCATCATCTGAATGAAAAAAAAAAGACGTACAAACTTAGGAAATAAAACCGAGGGAATACGTTTCTTTTTTAGGACACAGAGGAGTGAAGTGCTGTGTGCTTCAATTATAGGAAATGTAAACCAACCACAAATCACGGAGAAACTGTCATTTGCAGAGACAATGGCAGTCAATAGAACAACAACAACAAAAAATTGATTTCTCTTCAATTATCCAGTCCAATCACAGCCGAAAAATTACCATTCTTTCATAAATGATGATCCATATGATTTAAAGGAAGAAGACACTCGAGTGAAAAAGTAATCTGAAAAACCTTTGTGTCAATAACTCAGCAGCTAATTACACACACCATTATTAATACGTCTTCTGAGGTGTAGTTACTCAGAGAACAGAGGACGGACAGCAGGGTTAGTCGTTAGGGATAAATGTGAAGCTTTAACAGTGAGTGCAGTTTCTTCAAAGTGTGGTTCAGGGGCCTATTGTGGCACTGTAAGACATTCCATGTAACCAGCAGTATTTAATTTAAATATATAGATTATAATATATTAATATTTAGTGCTATATTTAATATCAATTTACATTTTTTTGTCATCCAATTAGTAGCCTTTTTTTACTATAACTTCTAGCTATTTTAAATGTCATTAATCAAGTAAATCTATTTATCTAACCTTAAGTCATTTCTTCCTAAATATTTCAATTAGAAATTGTTTTGACAAATACCTAAATATAACTCCGCATTTTTGACTCCAAATATTTGGCTGTTCTCCGTGAACTTTTGCAGATTTTTAAATGAATAGGTTATGTTGGACACTTTAACATCACAGTAGAAGACATTCACCCTTTGGTAGTTCTACTTGTCCAACTGTCCTTCCCTTGATAAAACTTTGGACCCCATGTTGTGTGTCTACAAGGGAATCAGAACTAAAGGAGTGAACAACAAAAGCATCAACAATACCCAGTGACCTACAAACCACAAAACCCTAATTAGAACTCCACCTACTGCTCATGTATGCGTGGAAGGAATAAAGACTGAAGAGATGAGGCTGATGGGAAATTGTCCTCAATGAGTCATTTTCCACTTTTCCAGACAGAGCCGTGCCTCAGAATAACTGAGGAGCTGCGGATCAATTCAGCACTCAGCGCAAGGACGGCTTCGGCTTCTTTTCATGAAACCGCTTTGAATGGACGGCTGGATCGGACCATCCAAGGATTTCACCCTGAGAACACCGTCCTGCCCACTTCACCTCTCGCTCCACTTTAGCCCATTCTGGTGTACATAAACTAAATGTGTCCATTCACCTCAGGAGGTCACACAACACTGTTAAATGTTTTTTTTATTTTTTTTTACTGACAAATAATAATCATTTAATTCTCCAGAATGAAACGTTGAGGTTAGTCCACAGCACACTGAATTCTCTTGAGAAAGCTTTTCTCTACCACTGAGAATAACTACGCAATCGAAATATATACAGGTATCACATTATTTCCAGAGCACCTTGAGGCACAAACAATAAATGGTGGAGAATATATCAATGTATTTTATGTCAGTGTACATGATGTCTAATGATGTTTTTTTAAATAATTAAACTCGTCAAGGGAACGTCGTCTGACTGTCCCAACACACCGCACAATCCAACCCAGGATCTTTTCCTGGGTCGCCCTACGCTGGTGGAATGACCTACCAACCGCTACCACAACAGGGGTGTCCCTGACTGCTCTTCAGAGAGCACCTCCTGTCCTCCTCCACCCTTACCCTCCTCTATCTCCTTCAGCACTTCTTTCCTAACCACTCGTCCCCCTTTAAGAGTTCTTTTATGTACCCTGATTTTTAATCCTCATCTTGTAAGCCGCTTTGGATAAAAGCGTCTGCTAAATGCATAAATGGAAACGTAAATGGAAGAAAACCCATTACTCTGTGGCATTCTGTCTTTATAACAGCGGTTTCTTGAACGTGCAAATGATCCATCTATTATTTGGCTCATATCTGGCCCACTGTTGACGCCACAATGTGGGCCACATTTGGCATGGAATAATGGTACTTGGGTGGTCTGCTCCAGATTTGAGCTAGGAAAAAAAAGTGAAATAATAATATACAAATAACACACTTTGTCTGGCCTACGTAGGACATTGAATATTGGGACCTGGTTATTTAATTTCATCTTGTCCACAACATCAAAATATTCGCCATTGTACTCTGACCTGTTTCTGACATTTTCATCAGACCAGTCAGATCAGTCACTGCACTGAAAGATGGTTCTGAAGCAGTCCACTTTCATCTATACCAGATCTAGGATACAAACTACAGCGAGGCAAGATACGAGGTTTCATCCGTTCCACAACAGTATGTTGATTGAACTGAACTGAGGAAGAACTAATACATTTCTTCAAGTGCAGAGATTTGTGTGTCTGTGCAACAGGGTTGCATAAGTTTGGGGTCAAAGCTCTTATCTTGATTCATTTGTGTTTCTTTGGGTCAAGCAGAATGCTGAGTTGAAAAGTCAACTTTTAGCTAAATTACGCAACAATTCTTATTCACAGTGCTCACATTTATAATAATGACCCACCTCTGTGTGCTTTGAGCCACTAAATTAATTGAAAAAAAATTGAAACTATAAAACAAAGTTTATGTGGACTTGTGTGAAGTTGTCTACAAGATGTATTGCTAAAACATTGACCAAACAGTAACACAACGTTAAATCAAATACGTATTAGAGTTAAAATTAAAAGTAAAGACGGCTCAGACCAAAAAAAGAGGCTTCAATATGTTGCCATGTAAAAATAGTATGCCCAGTAAAAGGTCATTACCCTCCCTGCCACTAGAGGGAACTGTGCTAACCTGTTGGCTATCATGATTGGGGGTGGGACTATGTGGCCATATATAGAGAGGTGGGTCCTTCTGTTATTCTTCACTTCCTCCATGTGGTCTGTTGGTCAGCCTGTTTCAAATATTGTTGAAACCCAATAAACCCAATGTTGTTGTTGGGTTTTTTAGGTCCTGTTGCTACACTATAAACCCTGCTCCCACATCTACAGCCACACTGAGGCCTAATGTTTGGTTTACATTGTTTGCTGCTCCTTGGGTTTACTTTATTTGGATGTTGTTGGTGATTGTTGAATCTGTGAGTCTTCCTTCCTTTTTATATCCCCCCCCCCCCCCCCCAAGCAGTGGTTGTTGAAGCATTTATTTGCAGCTGTTAAAAATAGAATCTCTTTCTTTGTTCTTTGTGTGAGTGCTGCAGAATTATTGACCACATGGCTTCCAGGTGTGTCGGGGACGGGTGTTTCAGAGTTTCTCACCTGAGCTCCATACTCACCGTAAGTATTTCTTTGTGTTAATTTCACACATCTTTCAGTTCATGTTGTTGGTTTTTTTTTGGTGTGTGTGTTGGTGATCACACTCAGCCATCCTGTTGTGTTCCCTACGTCACTGTATTCTCTTTAGTTGTTGTTGTGTCGTTTTAGTTAAAAGTGGATTTTATCATGTATGTTTTTCTTTTAGAAACTGCTGCATATGATGATTATATAATAAAACTTGTGATTGGGGGAAATCACCTGTCTCTACCAGTTTTTTTTGTTTTTTTTTTCTCTCCTCCAAACCATTGTCACCTTTTTTCTGTGTGAACCTGCTCTACTCGTGCTACAAATAGATAGCAACATGTTTTGGTAACTCAATCTAATGTTGTTTATTTTCATTGTTATACATATATATTTCAGGGTTTTTTTGCGCTTTTGAAGTTTAACTCCTTAACTAGTGTTTACAAAGAGCTGAATCTTGAAATTCTGAAAAACCTAACCCTGATTTTCTTTCAGTATCATGCACCATGACCTAAAGCTATTGAGGGACAGAAGTGAGATGAACTCTGACTCGTATTTTGGGACCGATGTAACAGAATGGCCTCGGCACAGACTGTAATCATTTCTTCAATTGACTTGCATTCACGACATTCTGGGTTTTTTCTTCCTTTTGCTTTTTCTTTGTTGTGATTTCTTTGTTCCTTTATAGTTTCTGTTTTTTTTTTTTTTTTTCCTTTTGCTTTTTCTTTGTTGTGATTTCTTTGTTGCTTTATAGTTTCTAGTTTTTTTTTTTACCTTTTTCTTTCTTTAACCTATTTGTCTTTGTCCTCCATCTCTTCCCTTTTGAGGTCAAACCTCAGCAGGTCATACTTTGCCTCCTCAGCCGTTACATCACCTGCTCTCCAATCCTTCATTCACGAATCCTTTTTGATTGTCTCTTTTATTTTCCACCTGCCTCTCAGCTCCAGCTCTGTCAAACCATATTCCCATTTCAGCCTTGTCCCTCTGACTTCATCTCAGCTATTCTCTGGATTTGCCCATTTGTAATTGGGTAATTAGAAATGTCATTTGTCATTTAATTAAAAATGCAGATATTTTCAAACTGATATGTATTGGTCCAAAAATGTTGCCCAAATGAAGGACTTGGGTGAAACGGTAGAACTGACTGGTTTGAATCGGAGGTACTGTTCAGACTGCAGAGCTGTTTATCACAGTGCTTCACTGACAGCAGCTTTCAAGTCACTAAAGCAGAATAATGATTTTTTACAATGGAGTTCCAATCACCATGAGAAAATTGGCAAATCAAAAAGCACTAATTAGGCTGAACAATGGTGCTTGTCAGTGTGATGCTATTCTCTTCTGATGCGTTATGTAAGAATGAATTTTAACTGTATTGTTGAGCTGAGAACTCGGGGGGAGTTAGATGGATCGGAGAGTTAGATGGAGAGATGAAGTGAATAAAATACCTGCGGTTATTTCCATGATGACATGGACTGACGTTTCAAAGCCCAACAGTTCGGTTTGTCAGCTGTCTCTCACACACACACAAATCATGTTTGTGTGTGTGACTGACCTACGCAGCAGTAATGTGATTACAGGGCAGGTGGGCCCAGAATCACCCAGTGCCCTGACTTATTGGATTGAGCCAAGTGGGTTGTATATCATCCATTGTTCCTGCGTGAGGGCATTGACTGGCAATTCACAGAATTGAATTTATAACTCAGGCCGTGATGAATTTTGGAGCCGGTTCTGCAGTTAATGGCCCGTCGTTTGTTCCGAACGTCGACTGTATTCTGCTCACTTCTTTCAGTATCATGCACCATGACCTAAAGCTATTGAGGGACAGAAGTGAGATGAACTCTGACTCGTATTTTGGGACCGATGTAACAGAATGGCCTCGGCACAGACTGTAATCATTTCTTCAATTGACTTGCATTCACGACATTCTGGGTTTTTTCTTCCTTTTGCTTTTTCTTTGTTGTGATTTCTTTGTTGCTTTATAGTTTCTAGTTTTTTTTTTTACCTTTTTCTTTCTTTAACCTATTTGTCTTTGTCCTCCATCTCTTCCCTTTTGAGGTCAAACCTCAGCAGGTCATACTTTGCCTCCTCAGCCGTTACATCACCTGCTCTCCAATCCTTCATTCACGAATCCTTTTTGATTGTCTCTTTTATTTTCCACCTGCCTCTCAGCTCCAGCTCTGTCAAACCATATTCCCATTTCAGCCTTGTCCCTCTGACTTCATCTCAGCTATTCTCTGGATTTGCCCATTTGTAATTGGGTAATTAGAAATGTCATTTGTCATTTAATTAAAAATGCAGATATTTTCAAACTGATATGTATTGGTCCAAAAATGTTGCCCAAATGAAGGACTTGGGTGAAACGGTAGAACTGACTGGTTTGAATCGGAGGTACTGTTCAGACTGCAGAGCTGTTTATCACAGTGCTTCACTGACAGCAGCTTTCAAGTCACTAAAGCAGAATAATGATTTTTTACAATGGAGTTCCAATCACCATGAGAAAATTGGCAAATCAAAAAGCACTAATTAGGCTGAACAATGGTGCTTGTCAGTGTGATGCTATTCTCTTCTGATGCGTTATGTAAGAATGAATTTTAACTGTATTGTTGAGCTGAGAACTCGGGGGGAGTTAGATGGATCGGAGAGTTAGATGGAGAGATGAAGTGAATAAAATACCTGCGGTTATTTCCATGATGACATGGACTGACGTTTCAAAGCCCAACAGTTCGGTTTGTCAGCTGTCTCTCACACACACACAAATCATGTTTGTGTGTGTGACTGACCTACGCAGCAGTAATGTGATTACAGGGCAGGTGGGCCCAGAATCACCCAGTGCCCTGACTTATTGGATTGAGCCAAGTGGGTTGTATATCATCCATTGTTCCTGCGTGAGGGCATTGACTGGCAATTCACAGAATTGAATTTATAACTCAGGCCGTGATGAATTTTGGAGCCGGTTCTGCAGTTAATGGCCCGTCGTTTGTTCCGAACGTCGACTGTATTCTGCTCACGCGGCCACCGCGGCCAGTGTTGTTGTTGTTTGCTGGCATGTACAGTGTGGTAATAAATGGGGGCTGAGGAAAGACTTATTGGCTGAGTGGTTGGATGAGAATGTCAAAGCTTTACAAAAAAAAACCCTGTAAAGGAGGAAAAGTATAGAAATAGGAGAAGGAGACAGCATGGTCGGGGGCTAGTCTAGGTAAATAAAGATGGGGAGCAGGAGGTAAAAAAAAAAGTAACATTTTGCAAAAGTAGTCTGTCCTTAACAAGTGCTAATTGCTTAGCTTCGGGGGAAAGGAACAAAGAGGGAACAACGTGGTGGTGCCGAGAGTGACATTTAGTTTTCCATGTAGGAAGTGATGGTGGGTTGCATAATAATACAGCAGCACTCTTTTAAATCACAGGTGGTCAGATTGTACTTCTTGCCTTTTTTGTCCCTTAAGTTTGAAAAAAAAAAAAAAAGGCAAAGACAAATAACACTCATTCTCTGCTTCTGCTGCTGCTGCTGCATCCTGGGTTTTGTTTGAAATACCAGTACGGTCTTTATTCCATCAGCTGCATATGTTAAAAATAACTATAATTGCTTTAATGGCGGAGCCTGGAGACCCACAAGAGTCTGTCAGTTGGGATTCAGTCTCTTAAATGATGCTCTGCCTTACTTGACAGAAATAATTCACTTGTAGAAAAAGCCTTGAGCCTTAACTGTAAGTGAGGCATCAAATGTATAAAAATGTAAAATAACTAAATGAATTGTTATTTAAATAATTAGGTACAAATGTCAGTTACAGTAACACTGTCCTCTTGTCACAAGTCGTGAGAAATTATTTGAATTTTTTTTTTTTCCCCAAAAGAAAGCGCCCATGTCTATATCAAGTCATTACAACATGGAAATTAACAAATAACAGTGTCAAGTAAAAGTGTCTACTTTTTTTCTCTATTGAATCATTAGCTACAAAGCCATTATCATTGTTATTCCTGGATTTACCCCAGATGTTAAAGAGCTTGTGGCTTTGGTCTGGAACATAGTTGATGTGCAGGACACTACATTTGGCCCTCGCCTGGTCATGTAGTGTTAGCACCTCAGAGCTGTGATCCACAGACAAACTGGGACCAAAAATACCTGGCAGCCAAAAGCCTAACCAAACATGGGTTGATAACTTTTATACATCGTGAATTTTTTGACCATTCAGGTCAGCCATATATAGTGTACAGAACAACTGTGTGTAAACCCATGTGTATATACTACTATTAGGAGTGTAAGGAAATACATTTGCATTTATGTTTTTCCACCATAATTCGCAAACAACGTAGTCATTTATCAATCCTCTGCTTTACACATGGAAGAGGGTCAGTGTAACAGGATAGACAGCTGCAAGCATCAATTTCATCATCAGCATAATACTGGTGTAACACAGATTTTCATCATGGTCACCTTTTGTGTTCACCCAGAATAACAATCAGTCTCTGCACAAACTTTGAGTTAGCCATAACTATATCCATTTTCTAACAAAATATTAAAAGTCGCAGTTTCTTTAAATTTCCCATATCTGCTATCAGTAACAAAATTAATGGTAACTTAAAGTCCATACCTGACTCAAAGCTGATAAAACCAAAATGATGTCACAGTTAATTACTTATTTTTGTCAACTGGATTACGGCAAAATCTCACAAAGACACAAACAGCATCTCCAATCATAGACTCGAGGGAGCAGCTCAGACTAGTTCAAGTTATTATTTCACCTTTTACCAGTTTCAACGGAATACCTGAACAACCTGAAAGATACCTGAGGCTACGTTAGCCCAGGGGGCTATGTCTTAATCCACAGTAAATGGTCAGCATCACTCCCCGACACTTAATTATAGTTTCTGTCCGCACCGATCCATATTGATTACCAGTGTCCGTCCCCCCAAAAAATTAAAAAACAGAACAGGACCGACCCCCCTCTCCCTCAAAATATCTTAATCTCAGTGACACATTTCAAATAGTAGTTGAGCGACGATACGTCGGATCAGAAAATGGTAAATAAGATCAAACACTATGGAGAGAACAAGTCCCCAAAAACTTTAAAACTCTTGTCAAATTGTAAGGGACACCATTACGTGTTGCTACTAAACATTGAAGGACAAACTCGCCTCAGGTCATTGACTGCTGTGAAATAAACAAAGGCAAATCTCCAGCAGCATGCAAGGAAGGCAATCCTTTCAATCAGGGTAATGTGAAAACCATGCTGTCGCCCAACCTAAAGTGGTACGGTCAATGTTGCTGCTCCATCTGGAGCATTTGTTTCTGAATAACCTCATTCTCAACAAACCTGATAACAGACAATAAAATCATTACACAAGCTTCAACGACAAAGTCTTCTACGAAGGGTCTTCAAACCATAACCAACCGATTGAACAAGCGTAAACCGTCAGTCCCAAGGTAAGCACCATGTGCTCAGAGGTAAAGTCTGGTTTCGGTCTTACTCACATCTCTGTCACGTTCTCACTCTCCTGCGCTGCCAGAATCGGGATGCTGGAGATACCATCAGGTTCCAGGCACTGAAGCATGGCAAAAGAGCAGCGACAAGCCGATGGGCACCCTCCTGAAACGGACGTTAAGACCAGGCTGAGCAGGATGGGCACCAGGGGTAGGAGAAGCACCGGGGCCCGGGGTGCCAGAGCCATGATGTAAAGAAGATCTTCTCAGAAATTTGGCAGCTGTAGTTGGCGTTAAGTGTCTAAGTGTTTTTGATTTGATGAAGACTGAGAGTGGTGCTTTCACACACTCTTGTTCTGGCTCTCCCTGGAAGGGATGAGATCTCAGCTGGTCAGGGTCTGGTACTGAGCCGCAGCAGCAGCAGGAGGGGCAGGCAGGCAGGCAGGCGAGGGGCCTCTGGGGACAGGGTGGTAGTGGGCTGCTGCCTCTCTCACTTTATCCCTCTCTCTTACTCTCCTCCACTTTAAAGGGAGGGGCAAGATATCAGGGGCTAGAGTCACCAGACACCTCGGACAGCTAGTGGGGGATGAGGCGAGTTGATGGGTGTGTTTGTGTGTGTGTGTGTGTGTGTGTGTGTTGGTGATAATGATTAGAGGAGAAGATGGTGATGTGGTGATGGAGCTCTCATCTGCCCCTTTCGTAGGAGCTCTGGTGTTCGGCCAGTTGTTCAAGATGCAAGCAAAGCCAAAAAGTGGGTTTGCGTGAGTCTCCACTCCGACAGATCCACAGCAGCAGCAGCAGCAGCAGCAGCAGCAGCAGCAGCAGCAGCAGCGTCCTCCTGCACGAATGGACGGCGGAGCTCTTTGCCCAGAGAGAATTGATTGTTGGACAGTCAGGAATGTTTAGACATGAGAGGTCAGTAATCAATCTGACGTCTGTGGAAAAATCACAGTACAGCAGCAATACTTTAGGGCCAGCTTATTGGCAATTGTAAAGCGTTGTATAGCATTGTAAATCCCTAACATTGCTGCGTTCAACAAATGAATGCATACAGTGTTCTTACCCAGATGACTCTACGTGTATAATACAACAAACCAAAAACACAAGAATTCTACTCCAACTAAATCAAAAGTCTGCAGTGTTTTATGTAAATGATTTTCTTGTAACTGTTATCACAGTTTTCATTTGTCAGAACAGCTCTACTGGGAAACCAAACTCCATAAAACTCCATTCATCAACAGAGGTTCAGGCCAGTGTAAGTGGCCTTAAGTTTAAAAACCCACACACAAGTCTGCAAACAAGATAACCGGATGTTTGCAGCAACAGATAAACAGCTAAGAACAGGCCACCCATCCTGCTTCATTGGAGAATTATTATTATTTGAACTCTGCATCTCACACTTCATTAAACCTCTTTGGCCTAAGTGATGATAAAGTGTCTGAGATTTTAATGTTAAAATAAAATGTTATGCAATTGACAAAAAAAAAAAAGAAGCAAACTAGAATTTACAGCAGAGGAAAACATCACTCTGGGTGAATTGGGAAAAAAGTGCAACATGTTATATATACTACATTCAAGGTATACACTAGGGCAAATGTGGCAAAACAGTTGGATATACAGAGATGCTGCTACTTATGGTAGGTGACCTCCTCATGGCATCACTAACTGAGTCTAATCATATAAATCCTGCAGAACCTTGTGCTGTCCATCATCCATATGTCCCTTGTACCAGTAAAGCCATAGTTTTACCCCTGGGCCGTATAAGGTGCCCCACCCCCATTCCTTCGAGTCACTCTGCATGAGTAAGGTTAAAGTGTCTCGACCACAATTATTGGCCATGAGCTGAGTCGTCATCTTTGCTGCGGTTGTCAGGATTATCTAGGGGCTTAATTGCTTTCCTTCTTTACGCCTGTCTTTCCTGGTCTTAGCTCAGCACATAGTAAGGAAGAACAAGATGCTTATTCACAGGAAGAGTGGTTTGAACATGTCGGGCCCTGGGGTTAAAAGCATGAAAAGATGAATGGCAAGGGCTGTTTTTGGGGGGCTGGGTGGGTTCAGTCATGCCAACAGGTTGTTTATTAAAGATCTTCATCTCAATACATTTCCATACAGTATAAAAATGATAAATGTAGAGAGTGAAAGGGGAAGGACCTCAGAAGAGATTGATGCATGTTATACAGTGGTGGCTACAACAGCAGTGGCAGTGACCTGGAGTGGAAAAGATAATCCACGGCCATGACTCCTAAAGGACCTCAGAAATGAAGCAAATTCACAGTCCTGGGAAAAGGCCGGCTTAAGAACGATATTCCCAAAACGAAATTCAATCCATGTTGCACAGTTGTGTGTTTGTGGGTGCAGTTTCAGATTTTCCCACTTAGTTTGATAGGGAGCATAAGTACTACAAGAATCACATCGTTCCTATTGTATTTTTCTCCTTTTGCTGAAAGCCGACAACAATAACAATGTCATGATTTATGTGCATTCTCCAACCAGTCTGCAGTTAGGTGACGCAACACCACAACTACTTATGGAACAATATCTAATCATGTTTTTGCAATCTCCACTTCAACACTTCATCATCTGCCATTTCTTTTGAAACGTAAAAAGATGAGAATATCCGAATGAATCAGCTTCTGCTGTAAACATAGCTGACAAACATATAAACAGGGGTGCTTAAACGCAGTCTTTTTGGCTCTTGTTGATAACATAAATATTTTTGTAAAGGCTTGGTCGTGAGCTCTGTCCTGGGATATTTGATTATTTGAGGGTTGCAACTTTTGAGATGTAAGAGTTCAAGTGTGGATTCTGTTGTCTCAGTTCTTCTACCTAGTCCTTCTCCTTCTTCTGACAACATGCACAACCTCACAACTGTTGTAATCAGTGAATATGTCAGAAGATATTTATATTAATGATAAGATACTCCCTGGAGTTAAATCCTGTTTAGTCTGACTCTTCCAGTTTTCTTCCGTTTCACTTACTTGTGTCTCCAGCTGTGATTTTCTCTGCTCAATTTTCTTTTGTCAACCGGCCCCGCCTCCGGTGTATTCCTGCAATTTTCTGTTGTCACCTACTAGTTTGTCTTCATTGTTTTGAGTAAACCAGCAAGTGGGTGAGTAAACCGCTTTACCACAGCCTCTCTTAGCATTGTGGTACCTCTATCTGCCGTACTGGACTTTTGCTTCTGTTTCCACGGTGCCACAGCATGAAATTGTTTTTTTTATTTCCATCTGAGGTCCTACTTATGAGGCCAGCCTTTTAACCATGACATTTCTTTTAAAGATTCTGTATTCTGATAAATTACCCAGTAGAGCAGGGATGCCAAACTCGTTTTTGGTTCAGCCGCATACAAACTAATTAAATGTCAAGTGGGCCGGACCAGTACGACCATAACATAATTAAGTCCATGTTTTTCCCCTTGGCTTCCATGCAGAAGAAGTACAAGTATATTAGATATTTATTAATTTTTAACAAGAACATTTTAACAAAAAATATCCTGAACATGAAGTATTTGTCAGATTATCTTTCGGTGCCTGGGCCGTAAGTTTGGCGCTCTTGCAGTAGATCTTTTGGTTTTGTGTTGAGTTGTTCAGTTGCACCATATGTGTGGTGAGGCAGTGATGTTCATAACCTCTTTTTTTGTATTTGTTCAATCCATATAATAATAATTTCTCATTGGCTGCTTTCCTCTGCTGCAGCTGGCCACATTGGTGTGACAGTCAGGATTGTCCATGATAGCAGCCAAACGGTAGGAGAGATTGAGGATATCATCGTATGCCTACGCTCCCTAGAGGACATCAATATACAAGACATCATTGACCTGCACCTGTTGGTTAGGTGGTGCTGATGGTGGAGAATGTGGGGTAGCTTTTATTTGACTTCAGACTACAGTCTCCATCCTACATTGGGGAAGAACATAACACAGTGTAGTGGCAGCCCTGCAGG